AAGATTCGTATACATACGTGTCCCAGTTTTTACAATCGATAATAAATCTATAATCGATATTAAAATCCAAAGAGAAAAATGTGGGTTGAAATGCTATGACGTTTAGACGGTTCAACGATCGTGTTTTCGCGCGGTAGCAACGTTTCCCGGATTCTAAGGCGAAATTGCAACAGAGAGGCGATAGGTGACGCAATATTGCACCGAAATCCCGAGTCTCGTGGCGTTTCGGGTCGAGTCGTACGGTGACCGAGGCGAGTTCATAAACCTGAAGCGCGAGTAGTGTCGCAACCCCGAAACGACTAGGTATTCCAGGTCCTGGAAGCCAGCAGTCTACGAGGTGCCTCGGTATCGCCGCACGTTCGGAGGTAGCTTATCGTCGCTGGTTGTAAAACAACAGATAAATGGTACGTGGAGCGCACGCGGCCGACTTTGAGATCGCGGTCGACTCGGTCAAGCAGGGTCACCGCTTCCGTGACTGTCCTATCTGCGAACGTGTTCGTCGCCGTCCATGAACGCCGCGTGACCGTGCACACGTACGCGTCCACACACGAGCAAACGTGGAATAATAGGTGCGCGCACGCACGGGGCGTTTGCTATTCGCCACCACCCCGTTCCTCGACTAGGAATTTCATTCGCACAGTAGGGTATTTGGCCGAAATTATTATCGTTATTTCGTTGCTTTATGGTACTTTAGCTCTGCATAGGTTACCCAGGCCCTCAGGGACATGTTTCCCTTACTTTCGCGCGATCGATGGTTTCGCTAGGCGATCAAACTGCCCCGTACGGTAATGAGCCGATTAGATCAGTTCTATGCGATCTGTAGCGAAAAAGCGGTGTGCTCAGCGAAGGCCTCGGACAATAATTAAAGCCGATTAAACTCGAGATACGAGCGCCGTTGATTAAATCATGCCTGAATTCTTGATTCCGTGCTTGACGATATGCCAATGATACAGACCACTATTAACCTTGAATAGAAAAATTTTATCGGCGAGAACCGAACGATCGTGAATAGTTAGTAGGTTAAACGATTCAAAATGGAAGCGTAACCGTGATCCGTACTGTCCGTTCCACCGGGATTCGGGAGTCCGAAGTTTTCCTTTCTGGTATCTCGTATCGATCTTCGTTCAGAGCTACGCGTAATAAAAACGAGAAATGTTAATACAGTTATGTTCGATTCCGGGTATGTATCATCGTCTCGAGGAAATTGATAAAGATTGGCGGTCGTTGCAAATCCGGAAGAATCTGACCCGGGCGAATTTGCGCCGGTGTTATCCGTAATAAAATTATATGCTGGTACGATAACGCGATTAACTTCCTATCGATCGACGATACGCGTCGTGCGTCTGCGATGGACGTTCGAATCTTTCTTAATCCCCCCTAGTCCTAATTATGTTTGGCTTCTGAAAACGATTATACGATATGACCATTGCTAGACACTAATCATAAATCGAACGATGGACGAAAGATTATGCTTGTCGCGATAGGAGAAAGAGCGAACGAACGTATCCGTAAAGTATGATCTCTTGAACAGTCGAAGAAAAAAAGGCTACCAGGTATGACCTATTTCGTCGGCCATCGGGGTGGAAAGCTACCCTTAAAGTCGCGCGGCAAAGCGAAAAAAGCTACGATCCCGCTACCTAAATAGAAGTTTCGTTCGTATCGAGATTAACGTCGTTCCCATCGGAGAACGAGGCGAGACACGAAATTCGATTTGAGCCCGACCACGCGACGTCTCGAAACGTTTCCTCGTCGATCGTGGGTGATTCGATTAGAAAGGACACGGACGATGGAAAAAGCGTCTCGCGACGAACATTAGGGAATTCGAAAATTATTACCTCGCGTAAAAACATATTCCGTTCGGATAATACAGCGGTGAAATAGTAGAACGATCGGATGGTTGAACATTCGGGTAACAAAGGTTTCGTACAGTGGCTCTATACATAATTGAAAACATTGAAACGAGGATGGATGGTACCGATACTTTAATTTTCAAAATTCGGCCATAAAACCCCCCGGACAGAGTCCATTTAATGAAGCGATGGAAACCTTGGAACTTCTTTCGCGTTCGCGTTCGGAAAGAAACTATTGTCGGCGTATTGTGCTCGCTTCGAAGTCATAGAACTTTTACGATCGCCGATATTATGCCAAATAACAAAGATATTACCGTGGCCTGTTCCAGCGAAACCTGGTGCAATTAAGGTATCGGTAAGTCAGCGGGTATCCGATACGCTCGTGGACGTTTAGTCCCGATGAATTCAGTATCGAGTAGCGAAAAAAAGGGTTATACCTGAGAGCCAAGAGCGAATCGAGTGTAACGGTGGCGAAGGGATTAACCCGTTGTAAGAGGAGCGTAGAAAGCGCGGGGCCCTATTCGGGCTGGCGAACGGCGCACGGCTCGGACCGCGGTTTTATTCGGGGCCCCGGTCACGATTTCCACGAGCGTCGTTAACGGTTAACCGAAAGTTCGACGAGTCTCTCGGTATTCCCCTTTGATTTTTCATCGGTGCTCCCGCCTCGTCCTCACTCGAGATTCTTTCCTCGACGAGCGGTCCAGGGCCGCCGCTCGCGAGGCGAACCTTCGAGCAAAACGACTTTCAGAGCCCGCAGTAATGTACTTTCACATTTGCAAGACCGAGGCATTGAATCGCTGGAAACTCGTTTCTTATTGCGAGGAGGAAAAGAAGCGGGAGAGACGGGGCGGACGGAGAACCGCCTTCAGCGGCGAATGATTTTTCGCAACGATGCACCGAAGCACCGCCGCGCGTGGCTTCTCGCGAAAATGATAGCCGGCTCGGCTTCGAGGCTCGTTTCGAGAGCCGAACGCCACGATGCTCGGTATCGTGCACGAGTCCAGGGGATTCGTTGAAAACAAATTGTTGGAAACACGACGTTCCTGGGCCGTGCTTTAGAAGGTGGCCGGCCGGTGTGTACGGAGTCCACGGTACTCTGATATTTAGAGAGCGATCTGTATTCACGTTCTCGGGCAGAACGGCAAGTGCAGTGACCCAGTGACACGTGGAAAATCTGGTCCGCAGCGCGGCGCGCGCCGAGAAGATTCGAATTCGCCGGATCGAGCGGTCTAATATCGACGATGACGGCCGTAGCGGAGGCACGCGGCTTTGCTTTTGGCAAGGAAAAAAACCGCCTGGCCGTGGTCGTCAGCCGCTAGGCGCCACGAACGGGGCATAACCAGGGACCATTTTAATTTACATCCCACCTGCCAGCCGCGCGCGACAACTCGCGTGCTCGTCTACGGATTCGTTTGCTCGACTTTCCAATCCGCGACACTCCACCTTCGATGCCGGGGAGCTTCCCCCCGGTCGAATTACTCCTCTCCGTCGCGAAAGTCAACAAACCGGAGTCGAAAACGCGTATGTATTACGAAAACGGGTACGAAATTAACGCGTAACGTTGAACGTTAAAAGAAATATTTTTGTTCGAAACGCTTACGAAGTGTTAATAAACGAGGCATCCCGACGCTGTTAAAAGTATAAATAACAATACTGAAATAACGGACGGGATTGTATTTATTGCGTTTCCAGGCCCCCGGGAGGAAGGAACGCGTGAATTTTCGTACGAAAAACGGCTGCCCGCAGGCCTTTGGACCCGTCTCCTCGCCTCTCTCTCTCTCTCTCCCTCTTTTTGTCCATTTTCGAAAGGCTCTTCCCATGAAACCGTTGAGGGATTTTAAGTAGGGTGCAAAACGAGGGCTTGGGTGGGGTCGGGCGGGGCGTACCGACGGTTCTGGCTCTCTTTATTGCACCCTCCTCTGGGTCGGTGCCGTGGACCCAATTCGCTCCAAGACCTCGACGTCGTTATTGCGTGTACCGTAACGCGTCTTCGCTCGGGGATTCTCCGATTTGAATTATAAAATCCGATGGCCGACAACTGCTCGTCATTTAATGATCGCTGACGTCACGCCCGGAGACGCGATTAGAACGGGCTGGGTCTCTAATGGTTTCGTGACGTTTCGCGTTACACCGGGTTCGTTATTTTTATTGTTATTAACGGACGCGGTCGCTCTTCGGTACATTGACGATACACAATGCGAACAAATCTACGAAAGCCCGATCCCACAAGACCACGGACCGAAACGAACGTCCACTCCTCGAATGGAAAGTGCTAAATACGAACAGAGTCGTTCTTATTTTCTTTTTCCAACGAATTATTAGTCTCGGATTGCCCTACATATCACTCGTGTATCGGGAAGAGCAAACTTTTGTACGGTAGAACGTCGATTATCGAGGCCCCGATTACCCAATGTTCGATTATTTATCGGAATACATGTGGAACATATACATACATAAGTACAGCACCACCGGCTATCGCTATTTATACTTCGAAATCTGTATTTGTCTGGCAAATACTAGACGTTAACACATAATTAAAATTAGATGTTTCGTTTACGCTATGAATAATGAAAGAAAAAGAATAGCGCGTAAAATTGAAAACGTTGAGGCCAGTTTCCGTCATTTTCAGGGGGAGAAAGTTTTCGATTCTTCTTTGGAGACGATGCTCGGTTTCCTTGGGCGTTTTTTTCCATGCCGATGGAAGCTTTTCACCGATATTAATAATTATCCTTCGCGACGCGCATCGAGGCGATCGGACGGCATTTCGCGTTAATGCGAGAAAAAGCACGGCTGTATCTTTAGACGGTGACTGACGCAGAAAGATCCGGTTTCACTTGGCTCGAACGCAACCAGACTATCTTCTAATCTAGAGGCCGAAATTTCTCGCCACGTTATCGCCTACTTTCGCAAAGACCGCTCTAAAACAAGACCGGGCAAGCTGTCGATCGATCGACCAAAACGATCCCGCGATCCCTCCTTAAGATCACGTGTATTCTAGCGAATGGGCGCAGCTCCCGGATACGGGCGGATCGGCAATACGCGAGGCACCGGGCTATTTTTATGTATTTACAAAAAGACTGCCCGCCACTGTTATTAATACTCCATCACTCCAACGAAGTAGTCGTAAAGATATCGCCCTCTTCGACGCACGATCCTCGGGGATCTTCGAGACGCGTCCCTCGTTCGGATGCGCGCTAAATCGTCGCAGGGTTGCGTAAAAAGGTGAAATTGCCTTCGAACGTTTCAATGTTCAAGTTCGTCGAAACGTTTTCGTCGTCCTTACGACGACGAGTTATTCTCGTTGGATTCTTTTCTTTCTTTTTATTGGACACCGTCACGGACAACGATCGACACTTTGCGCGAAAAGGGGGACTTTCGAACGCTTTGCTGACCGATTAAATTTAACGATTAAACGTAACGCGTGTTCGTTTTCATCGATGTCGAACGCGGCACGGCCGTGAAAGTGCTTAGATCGTTTCAAGTTTTACTGCGTTTCCGTGGTCTCACCGCGATGGTTACAAATCGCTAGTTCGACCACCCGTATACCATTGCCTTGTCTCTTTTCTTTTTTTTTTTCCACGCCGGAAACCGGCGTATCGTTGTAAAGCGGTACAACGAGAAATCGATGGTGAAAACGATTGCGCGAAACGTTTATTTCGAACCGTGCAACCGTTTACGTTTAGAAAATTAACGAACAACCCGCGTCCAAACGCGTTTCGCGTACGCATGATTTGCGGCCTAGATCTCTCTAAATGACGAACAAAATTCTCTTTTGGATCGCTCGCTCAGCATCGAAAAAGTATTAACGGTCGCGTCATTCGTCAACGTCAGCACGAAAAATATATCGGAGCGTCAAAATATAAAGCACGCGTCCAAATTTAAAATCAAAGCTCGTAAATAGACACGTTGGATCAGAGAAAACATATGTCGGTGAAAAAAAAGATCGATACAAAGATGTTTGAAATTTTGGTTGTAAAATCCCGGTTTGCAGAGTATCGTGCGCCGTATGGGCCGGAGATTTGTGCGATAAACGGGTTGCGGTGATGCGGGGGACGTCGTGGCGAGCAGTGTATATACGTCAGTGTCTGGCACACATGAGTCATTCTGGGAGGAAACGGTGACGGGGCGCTTGATGCGCCCACGATATGGTCGTCCCTGCGCGGAAAGTGAGCGTAAACCGCCGAGGCGTTCCGAAGATGGCCGAAGCGAGGCCGTCGTGCGGCAGTCGAGCCCGAGCGATCCCCCGATCGCGGTCGTGCGTGGTGGTGCGGCAGGTACGGCAGTCAGTAGTGGATTAGCAGCAACGGGAGCAGCAGCAGGGACGACGGTGGCGTAGCGCTAACACGAAACGAGCAAGGGAAGGAGGAGGAGGTATGATCGCGCGAATGATCGACGACGGGAGGAGACATCGTCGAACGGGTAAATAACGGATCGTCGTATTTACCCAATGCTGCGAGAGAAACCGTCGTGAAACGAAGGTGTCCTGGATGCAAACGCTGGCTGCTCCACGGAATATGTACGTGGCGGAGGTGGGCGCGGGCCGTGCGAAAAAGTGGCGAAAACTGTGAGAGAGGTGCAGTGGTGGTCGTGGCGGTGGTGGTGGTGGCGGTGGCGGCGGTGTGGCGTTGCTGGTGCTACTTCGGTGTGTATGCGCGCGTGTATTGGTGGGACACGCACTTCGCCGGGGCCGTGGTTTTACGCTCTCTCTTTCGCTCCTGTTCCGTCGTCCGTTCCCTCTTTCTCTCGCTCGTACCCCTCTATTCACCGCCGACTATCCACCTCTTTGTCGCTCGTACGGAGGCCATCGTACCGAAAGCGACCGAGCCAGGCCAGCCACTACGCAAGATGGCTGTGTGTCGCTAACGAGAGGCCGACAAACCAGACGGGGAAAAGGCAACCCGGGGATAAACGGAACATGCTGCTACGTGAACGTCGGGCCCGTCCCTGAAGAGAGAGACACTGGCCAAGAAGCGAGAGGTACGTTTTCTCTATTACAGAATTTTTCATTTTTCTCCGTCGCTCCGTTTCGCTTTCTTTCCGTTTTTCGCTCTTTATCCGCGACACCGATCGTCTTTCCATCCCCCTCGCTTGTGTCCCAGTGACGACGCCTTCTGGAATCTTTTCTCGAGGTTGACAGGTCGCCGAACGTAACGCGACTCGCGTGTTTTTTGCATTCCCGAATCCTCCGAGTGTACGTGGACTCTACCATCTCGCGTATGTACGCGTACATCGATATACGCATGTTCCGTACACGAAAACGTAAACAAGTTAAAGCTCTGCCCCGACGAACAGTTTCCTGGATGTCGACAACCGATCCCTGGCGTGCTCGTCCATCGAGAACTTGTCGTCGGAGCGAGACGCTCGATCGGACGTGGCTCGATCTTGTAATTTGTTCGCAACGATAGCTTGTCAGTTTACGTCTTTGCTCCGATTCACGACTAGACGACGACTGTACGATAATGCGAGCCGAAAAACCGAAACGAAAACATCTGTTGCCGAAAGGCTGCGAACTACGAACATAACCTCAAAATGGGTCGGTTTCTTGTACCGTCGCGCGTAAGTACAAGGTAGTACGTGCCAAGTTGCGTCTCTCGTCGATCTGTGCTTTCATCGACGGGATACAACCGTGGATGAGTACGTGCGTGCGCGCTCGAACCTAATAAACAACTTTCATCATTAATTTTGCATAAACTTTTCCGATCGTGTGTGAGTTCTCGAAGATACTTTGCACCGGAGCGACGAAGAACTTGAAGAAAACATGTTGCGCCACGAAAATTCCGCTACCGACGAGCAAGATCCGCCGACGGAGTGGAAAAGTTTCTGCGTCCGAAGACGCGCAACCGTCGGACAAGAAACATCTGTCGGTCGAGGAGCGACCGACTACGTCTACGCCAGCTGCTGGAACTCACCGAGCTGAAACTTCTCTCGATTGCGATTTCGGACTGTCAGACGATATTGCACTACTGCAATCGTCTGTTATAGTACGTATATACAGTGCTCGCTACCGACGCGAGTATTGTTGGTTTCGTTGGCTTCGTCGACGCTTGATTCGCATAAGTTAGCGTGGAAACTTTCCATCCAGCGCGTCGACGTGTTCGTTTCAGACCACGTCCCGACGTACCTGACCATTCACCAATACAGCCAAACTCGTTCTGTATTTTACGCATTCAGCATTTTGTCCAACGTTCCGTCCAATGGGTGGTTACGGTACTTTTATTGGACGGAGACGATACGACTCGATTCGTTATAAAATTTCGTAAGCCTGGTCGCATTATCGCATACCGATATAGCCACTGCGTACTCCACAGTCGCTAAAAAGTGTTGTCACGGTTACGAACGACATTTCATTACCGTCTCGATACAAGTGTGCGTACGTCACCGGATCGAACGTTATAAAAGAGTTCCACGAAAAACAGAAAAGCCTTGTCTCGAACTCGATTGTGCTTAAACTCGTGTTTGTACTTCACCGGCTGCCAGGGGGCAACGGAACATAATTCGATCGTCGCAGACCCCGGGACACTACGAAATCGAAGGGAATATACTAGTGCTCGTACTCCATATTACGTATTCGTTTTGGAGCAACCTATCGAAGTAAAATTGAAACTCAAGAATACTTTCTTTAATACCATGTAAAACAGTAGTCGATTGTTATTTTATAATGTTTCGATGTACCGTGTTTAAAGTGTTAAACCAAAGAAAAACATATTTCGTATAAATTACCCTGATGCAAGAGCGACTTGCGAAGTCATTTCCTTTTGCACGGGCGGAACGAGGAAAAGCAATTTCGAGAAAGAAAAAAAACTAATCCACGAGTCGAATCGTTTTCCTGCGGAACTACGACTCAAAATCCAATTAGTTTCATCCGTTTCCCCCCTTCCTCCCTCGAAGCCCGATCGATCGATGCTCTATATTTTCGCGTCTGATTATCGTTTTCTAATTATTGCTCAACGTCTGGGAGTCCGCGTTAAGTGCGGAATGTATAATCTGGAAAGCTAACGCGACTCGAGGGGGTGGAGTTCCTGCTCGATTTTGGAGTTTCTCGAACGCTTGACCTTTCGACCGCCCTTTCCAACAGAATCAGTTATGCGTATATTCTACATGTACTCCGTTTTCTTTCTAGGTGTCTAAAATGAAGAAAAATCATTCGATGGTCCGATTTAACTAGTACATAGATACGAAGCATGGATTTCTCCCGTTTGATAACCAAGATAGTAATTGTGATCAGGGTGTATTCGTCACTACCGGCGTCGATGTTAATAAAAAACGTAAAATCATTCGCGTGCGATGCATTGACCTTCGAACGACGTCGCATAAAGGAAACGCGATTATTCAGGAATATCCATAGAATCCGTGGTGCGTTCTATTATGAAAGAAGGTCGAATCCCGATCGCTGGGTCAATATTCGAACCCGTACTGTACCGTAGATTCTCATCAATTGAGTTGTCGAAACCCAAAGATCTCTTTTCTTCGAGCCGGGTATTCGAAAAATGGCCACTGTCGTCTAGGATACGTTTCTATCTGAGGTCGGAGAGGAGAGAAAGGAATTTTTTGTCCGCGTTCTGCTTCGTATTGCACGCGGTCCACGAACAAAACGGCCCCCCCCCCTCCCCCTCCCCCCTTTCGGCAGGAGATCCGCGTCGCGTCCACAAAAATTTTTCGTCCGTTGGAAACTTTGCACGGTTCGTAGCGTTCTATTTAAGGAATATAAGCTCGACTCGTCGGACCTCTACCTCCGCTGGAAAATAGTTTCGCTTCCGGTGAAAGCTTCGCCATGGTTCTCCTTGCGCTATCCAATTACTGGTCCATCCATCGTTCGCCGCAGGAGTTTGTTGTTATTGCCAGACCACTTTGCCGATGTTTTCGAACCGACTTTGCAATTTCAATTGACGAATGTGTTTGTTTTTACGAATGCACGCGCGGGAACACGACACGCGTAACGTTGTTTGATCGATAGAAACATCGTTGCATCTCGTTACGGTGTTTCTTCGAACGTATTAAATAACAGTCGTTATGAAAGTGGTCCAAATTTAATAAATATTTGTCTAGAATCGTTAAATTTTACCAATATGGTACCTGAACAGCTGTCTAACAGAAAAATGTATTGAAAGTATGACAGTTATTCTGTCACCACGCATTGGGAAAAATGACTTACGCCACTGTCAAAGTAAACACAGCATACAGCAGATAACAATGGAAATGACAACTTCATTTTATTGCATGCTTCGTGACAACTTGGCAAACATTCTTCGATAATAATGGAACATAGACGATGTAATATTAAATGAAAATCGAAATTTTTTGTTATGCCACTTTGTACCAGATATTTTATGCTTTATCGAACGCTTTGCGTACACGCAGGAATTCGCCTTTCGATTTCTTCGACCAATTTCGTACGAAACTCTGCACGTATCAGCTTTCGTACGAAGTCCCATAAGTAGTTTGGTGATCCGACGAGGATCTACGATTACGATAATCAAATCCGTGTTCGCGTTTCTCCCGGATCTTGATCTTTTTTCGCTTTAACCGCCAGAAGGCTCGAACGGTTTCAAATTACACGTTTGCAACATTATAGAAGGGTGCGACCTTTTGCAAATTTCGACTCTACATAGATTGAAAACCATTAACATAACGAATGGAGCGATTGTTTGAAAAAATTATAGGCAAAATGACCCGAATAGTTTTTCTTTTAGATAGGCAGAAAGTAGTCCTTGTTGCGCCGAGATTGCCATAATTGGAAGCAAATCGACGTTACATCCATAATATCGTGGTTTTTTTCTTTTCGTTTTGCTATGATTACAGTAATCCTCGATTCTTGGCCAATAGGATACCTTTATTCGCACGCGTAAACGTCGCACAGTAGTTTTAAATTGGCGTAATCACCGAAGCCGCAAGTTTACGCAGCTGAAACCCGTTTAGTTATATATTTTAAGGTCTAACGAATAACTAGAATTAAATCCGGCATTGACGCAAGTTGTTGCAACAAAGGTACACCTGATCGAAGCTCGATTCATTGAAAATTCGCTATTCTAAAACTAAAAGACTCGTACACCATATTGTGTGCATATTATACATGGAAAATACACTTTAAGGGTAATAAAATGATTAAGATCCATATTTGCCTTATCAAATGATTGCCTCGTGAAAACGACGGTACGGAAAACTCGTCGTTGCGATTCCTCGAACAAAAAATCGAACCGTGTACGGGCATATTTTAGCAGAACGAAAACGCAAAGCGTGTTAATTGGAAAATTCCGTGGCCTTTATTATCACGTTACCGGGAAAAGCACGGAATTTTACTGAGAACGAGCCGAGGAAACGTATAATGTATTTATTGCGTGGTATAATCTCGACGATCGATCGCGGGTTTCTACGATTCCGTGAAAAGCCCCGTACGCGTTGCTCGAAAACACCTCTTACATAATGTTGAGCAACAACGTATTGCTACCGCGGTCTGTCGCTTATTTGCACGACTCCGGATTTACGTAAAAATTATAATTAGATCTCGACGGACGCGATGATGGTCCCGTATCGCCGGTCAGAGGTAACCGATTGAAACACGCGCGTGCAGCGGGTAAACTCGAACGTCGCGCGGAAAATTCACGCGGCTCGCATCCAAGATAGCGAAAATCCGTTCTCGAAACGAGCATGGACGCGGGGAGAGTCGTGGAAAATCGAAAGATAGCTCGATTCTATGGTGAACGAAGGTCCATAGACCAAATTCTAGTCTTGGATTATCGGTTTCTCGGCGCCTGGCGCGACTTGACCGAGAACAAATAGACGCGTTTGTTCGATATACGGGGTACAGAGATTAGTTATTACTCGGCCTTACGATTATCCTGCTCCTTGGATTGTTAGCATTGCCGTTCCACGCGGCACGTTACAAATGAAGCCTAACGCGTGATCATCCAATTTGTCGGCGAACTTTTGTGCGCGCGATTGCGGGTTATAAATACAGGACGTAACAGCAGACGTTTATGATCGCGATACTAGACGGTTAATTTACGACAACAGACGCGTTCGAAACCCTTTATAGGCTGCTCGGACTGGAGAACTGGTACGATGTTGGTGCACATCTCTATGATGTCTCGTGGTCTCATCCGTTGTTAGAATGCGACCAGATTCGGAAAGATTCGAACGCGGTCCAGCGTTTCAATTCGTTCGAGTTCGAAAGAGGCCGTGAAAAATTCTCCGTTTGTTATCGTTGGCTCATTGTTCTCGTCGTGACGACCGCGGTCACTTCCGGGCTTTTCCGTTTCACTCATATATACCGATCGAAACTGTATCATCGATATTAAATTCTGGCCCACGGTGCAACTTTGTGGGAATTCTATGTGCCTTGCTACAACTTTCGTTGCTGCCTTCGTGCAACTACGTTGAATGAGTCATCGAACAGTACCGAGCAACGAGGCTCTCCCATTGCAATGGAAACAATTGCTGTGTTCGTGTTTAGAAAGTCATGGTGGCGAATCGTTCGCAAAGCTCGCCGTAAAGAGTCACTCGCGGATAATGAACAGAGAAGACAACAACGCAGTCGACACGAGATCTCTTACTAGACGAAGGATCATTTTCTAACGAACCTATTAGTTTTCGGGTAGATGACAAGGCCATCTGTTGGTCTTTGGGGCATTTTTGAGCATCCTCGCGAACTCTGACCGACGCGCAGAAGAAGCTGGGACGCGTCGTTTGCCACTCGACTGCCGGCTCCGTCGTTACTCGTGACTTTGAAGCGATCATACGAGTCGCGGAGATAACTCGAGATCGAGCTGTCGCGCGTCAGCAATCGACGCGACTTTGCATTGCAAAGTTCTGCCCGTTGGCTCCCTCGAGCTTATCGTCGAGCGTGCACGACCGATCGCCGATCCCGCGACTGACACGCTCAGCCAACGTCGCACGGTGTTTTTTTCGTTCGATACGGACGGAGTCGAGACGCGATGATAAAGGTCGACTGGTTGCGAGTAAACTGAAACTCTTCGATCTGCCATCTCAGGCGTAAGACACTGTTACGTAAAAGTTGCTCCTTTTATTACGACGTTACGTCTCGTGGATAGCTCCGCGTTCAAAAGACACCTCGATAACGACACGCATTATTCCGCTCCTCCGTCATTCGGCACGACGCGGCTTAAAAATTCCCCAGAATTACGTGTAACGTTGTTTACTATAAATACCATATTAACCCTTTGCACTTCGATGACTACGACAACTGAAATTGTGTATCGTAACGAAGCTAGCTAGACGCCTCCGATCTAGAAAAGATCTCTATCGTCGAAAGCGAACGAGAAACACTTTGGCACACCGAGCGACGCGACAGTGACGAATTTGGTCGGAGCTTAGCTTCAGTTCCACCTTAAACGAAACGCAAATTCGTGGATTCGATCGCGAATTCCGTAGCCGGTCGTCTCGATCAGCGTTTCGATGGGCCCCTTCGATCCTCCGCGGAGCAATTTCGAATCCATTAGAACGATATCGGGTTATCCGCGCGTACCAGTTTAGCAGAACTCTCTCTCCTTCTCTCTGTCTCTCTGTCTCTGTTCTGCTGAGCGTCGGGACGGTTAGCATAAACGTAACTGTACTTCGTGGTACCGTAGATCGTTCATAATACCGAGCAACACTATTTCTAACAAGCAGCACTATAATTAGAGCACGTCGTGCACGCGGTTATACGAAGTTGGAACGAAGGGAGAAGGAGATACACGGATGACGAGCGATGCGCGGGGGCGGAACCGATTCCGAGCTATCGAAAGTTTCCAAAACGCCTGGTCGCGCGGGATCGATCATCGCACGCACGATTGGTCCCCCGACGACGTTTTCTCGCAGATTTCGGTGCCCGCGAGTACGCGAATTCCGTGTTTTTTTGCGATCGATAAGAACGAAGACACGACCGCTGCTATCTTATCGGTAGCTTAATTTCGTAAAACCGGCGTTGCGTTGGCTCGCCGAACCTCTCGTAGATTAGGTATGTACCGTCGACTTTCGAAACCAACAGGACACTTTGCGCGTGTCCAGTATCCGGTCGTTTGTCCAGCGTCGGACGGAAATCGCCGAAAATCTGTCGCGGGAGCTATTTCGATCGTGAACGTGCGGAAACCCGATATTCCGGCGGTTCCCTTTCGAGTGCGGAGCTCGAATATTCCGAACCGAGTGTACCGAAATATTTCAAGTGGCTCGGAAAACTGCGAGCGGAGGGCAAAATGTATGTATCGCTCGATAGGATCGAGTGTGCTTCGTCGCGAGCCGGGACGAAAACGAGTTTCTCGAGCGCTCGAGCGGAGTTCTGTTTTTTGAGAGCCACTGCCCCGAATTACCGTGGTACCATACAAAGGCACACACGCGTACGCGAACGAGACTCTAAAATATTCATAGTCGTCGTCGCTCTTCGCGTGTACTTTTTATATATCGCGCGACGATAGCTGGCCGTGGGTTCTCCGTTCGCCTAAATCAGAATAACACGACGGTGGTCCCTGCGTGTCCCCCTCTTGCTCCACCGATAACGCTCCTTTTGCTCGCGATAAAAAGTATTTCTCATCTATGGAATAGCAGCTGATTCACGCGTGCTTTCTCCCTTCTATTTTTTTCTTCTTTTCTTGTTTACCGCCTAGTACAACGCCCACTGGCAGTTTTTTGGCTCTCGTGGAAACAAAACGAACAAACACCACCCAGATGGTAGTCTCACGGGGAGAAAGTCCGTAGGACGTTGAAAGCAATTTTTAGACCTTCTTTTGTCATTTTTTAAACCGATAAGCAAGCGTTCGAACCTCTCTGGATCCAAGTTGGAATATTCGTTCGACGATCAAGCTATGGGTGAAGTCTGCGATAGAATCGACTTGGGAGACCTCCCACCAGTTATTCTTCGAGGGGAACTCTTCTTCTTACTGCCTTAGCCCGGTGGCTCGGATACTCCCTGTTCGGTAGTATTCTATGAAAGCGGCGATAGGATCGAGAATATCGCGCGTATCTTTGTTCCTATAGAAACTAGATCTACGAAAAGATACCTAGCTATCGAATATTAGTCGATATTCGTAAACGATAGGATGGTATTAGACGCACGAAACCACTACTCTTTACCAAATTTCTTGTTTATTATTGACCGAGCCGAACTCGACATCGATCTTTCAAATCATAAGTAAAACATATTTTTCCAAGTTAAAAAACGTCTAGGGCCACAAAGGGCTTGAGAGAAACTACAGATGCTCGATTTCTTTAACGTTCTGTATACTGTTGTCTTCTGTAAGAAATTTCGTTCGTGGTGGCGACGAACGGAGGGATCCAGTAATAAGCGTTGTGTCCGTTTCTAATTGCAGGGAATGTGTGACATGTTCATCCAAACACAGCAGACGAGTAGCGTCAACGGCAGCAGCAGCAGCAGCAGCAGCGGCAGCAGCAGTAACAACACCGTTCACCACCATAGCAAAAAACGCAAGTTGGAGTACAACGTGAGCCAGCCGGTGATCCAGCACGCTTTGGTTCAATCGACCGGCGACTACCAATTAGACAATACCGGGCTGCAACAACGGTACTCCGTGAACGGTGCTAATACCGCGTTTAGCTCGCTGCACAACAATAATGCGCTGCAGAAGAGTAGCCCGAACCAACAGACTCTGGTACGAGCCTCGACGATCAAGCTCGTAGACACGTACCAACGCTGTAGCCAGAAGGTTGGTGCCGCTTCCCGCGATCACATCGCGCCGATAAAGCTCATTTTTCTATTCCCGACCCACGGCGCCGATCCCGATCGCTCGGACCGCCGCGCCGTGTCTCTTTCCCCGTCCAGGGATCCAACGACGTTAACGCTCTGCTTGCTCGTACAATCGAGATAGATGCTCGAGATACGCCTCGCCTGCGATTAAAATTTCCTAATCGCGATCTATCAACTCCAGAACTTCGTTCTGTGACTTTTCTCGCGGAAACTTTGCCATTTGTTCCTCCAACAAACCGTACCAGCGTTATTAGAAATCCTAGAGGCCTCTTCAGGCCTCTTGTGTCATTCGTCCATCGATGTTTCTTCGCAATTGCACCGGACGCGTTCGATTCCCTACTGCGCATTTTGAAATTCATTTGGCGTTCAACGCGATAACGAACCTCGTCGTCCTCGGCTGCGTTTGTCTCCGCTTGTTTCTTTCCGTTGCTGTCGCTCGTTTCCGCGGCTCGTCGCAACACCACGTTCTGGTTACTAAAAATAGTGCGTGCTTTTTACTTCCGCGAGCGGATACGGTCGTTCCATTGTCCGTCGTTTCTTCTCCTTGTTCCCATTTTGATAATTTCAACAGAAATCCTACCGAACGCGACATTTAATTCGGATTTCGACTGTATTTCACGCGTACTCCGAAGTACCCCAGGTGGTACGTGACAGAATTTCCGTTTCGGTCACGCTTTCCCCGCGTATCGATGTTTTCTAAATTGGATTTTCCAAACCAGATACCATGAATGCATTGTATCTACAGGATGATAGTCATTGACGTCCGACAGCTAGGGATTGCCATCGTTGATGGAGAAACTTTCACAAAGGTAGCCTTGTGTTTTGCAAAGTCGTAAACCATCCATGCTCGCCTGCATTGCTTAACGACCTCGTGTGTGTCCACGTTCGCTAATTCTGGCGAGTAATTACGGACCGTGGAGGAGGTTTTCGCGTTGCTCGTCGATCAAAAGAGAGATGTATCGCGGGCACGGATTGAACGGTCGTTTGCCAGGTAATTTCTCCGTGTGGCGTAGTTGCGTATCGATTGAACTTCAAGGCTTCCATTTCATATTTCATACCGGTCATCGGGACGTATGTACTTCCGCCGGGCGAGCGTTTCGGAACGCCCGGTACGTGGATTCTATATCGATCGATGTATCGCGGAAAGAGCGTTTATCGTACGATTATGGAAGACACCACCGTTGCCTCCGTGATCTTTTTCGGTTTCTAGCGGTGTCTGTCCGCGTATACGAGTTAGTTTTGATTAAATTTCAATAACCGCGCGCACACGTGACCGATGAGACATAGCATCGACTGGATAGACACGTGTTCCGGAACCTCCAGGACTTATAATGCTCGAGCTCGTGTACATGTATGCGTCTTGTGGCCGTCTTTCCCGAACATTGGGCTCGAAACCCTTGTGTGCTCCTTCGTACGTTTGTCGCTTATTCGTCCCCCTTCCAACCAAAGCTACCGAAGCTACTGTCTACGATTTCTTAACGTACAAAAATTTTTGTATAAGGTATATTCCTCCTACAGAGAAAAACTTGGTCGAGGGAGGGTAATGGTGACGGTCTGGCAGTCCATTCCGCCAACGCGACGAACGCAGTGGGTAGTACTGTAGTGTCGCAACACCATACTCAACAGCAACAGCAGCTGCAACAACAACAGCAGCAGCAGCAGCAGCAGCAGCAGCAGCAACAACAACAACAACAACAACAACAGCAGCAGCAGCAACAACAACAGCAGCAGCAACAACAACACAAGCAAACAGGCATGACGGCGCACAGCAAACAAGTGACCAACGCTGCCAATGGAGGCGGTGGCAGCAATCCCCAGGGCGATGGGGATTACCAGTTGGTTCAGCACGAAGTCCTGTACTCGATGACCAATCAGTACGAGGTCCTCGAGTTTCTGGGCAGAGGTACTTTTGGACAGGTACGTTTTCCTCTTCCGCTTGCCCGGAGATGGGACATTGTTCCTCGAAGATCAAACACGCATCGTTTGCTCCTCGGCAGGTTGTGAAATGCTGGAAAAAAGGAACCAATGAAATAGTGGCCATCAAAATTTTGAAGAACCATCCATCGTATGCGCGCCAAGGTCAGATTGAGGTGAGTCAACAGGATCTTTAGTTAGAGTCTTTGAATGGAAAAGTCGAACGAGGTTTAAATACGATTTCGATTTCACGCAGGTCTCCATCCTGTCTCGACTTAGTCAGGAAAACGCGGATGAGTTCAATTTTGTGCGTGCTTATGAGTGTTTCCAGCACAAATCCCACACCTGCTTGGTCTTTGAGATGCTAGAGCAGAATCTGTATGATTTTCTGAAACAGAATAAATTTTCACCATTACCGCTCAAATACATCAGACCGATTCTCCAGCAAGTGCTCACTGCTCTTTTGAAACTAAAGGTGAGTCACGTTTTCGTTGTAACAATGGCGTGTTGTCGCGCTCGCGACTATCGACCGGAGATTATCACAAGAATGTACGTTTGTAGCAATTGGGGTTGATTCACGCGGATCTTAAGCCAGAGAACATCATGTTGGTGGATCCAGTACGTCAGCCTTACCGTGTGAAAGTTATTGATTTTGGTTCAGCCTCTCATGTGTCAAAAGCTGTCTGCAACACGTATTTGCAATCGCGATACTATCGTGCGCCTGAAATTATTCTTGGACTTCCGTATTGTGAAGCGATAGATATGTGGTCACTCGGCTGTGTGGTTGCAGAATTGTTTCTAGGATGGCCCCTGTACCCTGGTAGTTCGGAATACGATCAGATTCGATACATAAGTCAAACACAAGGCCTACCGACAGAGCACATGTTAAACAACGCTAGCAAAACAACTAAATTTTTTTATAGAGACATGGACAGTAAGTTCAGGCAACTTTGATCCACAATTGATTGATACCGTGTTGCGTCGATAGGATATTACTTAAAGTCGAATCGTTTGTAGGCACGTATCCATTTTGGCGATTAAAGACACCGGAGGAGCACGAGGCCGAGACGGGTATCAAATCCAAGGAGGCAAGAAAGTATATTTTTAACTGTCTCGATGATATTGGTCAAGTAAATGTTCCGACCGATTTGGAGGGTGGTCAACTTTTGGCTGAGAAAGCAGATAGGAGGGAGTTCATTGACCTCTTGAAGAGGATGCTCACGATGGACCAGGTAGTAATATCTAATTCATGTTTCGATTGCGCCAAGAGACAATTATAGCGATTCGTTTTATGTAGAGAAGGTATCCTTTATGGAGAGTGTATTGTTGGTTTCGCAGGAGCGCCGAATAACACCCGGAGAGGCTCTGAACCACGCTTTTGTCACTCTGGCCCATTTAGTCGATTATGCACATTGCAACAACGTAAAAGCTTCCGTCCAAATGATGGAGGTTTGCCGACGAGCTGGTGATTTCACAGCAAGCCCGGCGCATCATCAAGCTCCTCCAGCACCTCAACCACCTCCGCCAACGTCGTTGGTGGCAAACTTTGTGCCGACGACGAACGGCAGTGCTGTTACTTTCACCTTTAACAATCAATTGACCAATCAAGTACAGCGATTGGTTCGAGAGCATCGCACGGCGCAAACAGGATACGACAATCTGGTTCGTAAACAAATTCACTTCTTTTCTCCTCTGTCCTTTCCATTTGTTACACGATGGCTTCTCTTTATCGCGTTGTATTCTCTCTTTTCAGTATCAAATATACAGTAACAGTAGCCGTCGTGCGACTCAATACAGTAGCTCATCCAGCGGATCGAATAGTGGCCGGAGCGGAGTGCACGATTTTCCACATCAATTGGTGCCTGGTCTACTTTGTCATCCACCCAGTTATCAAACGATGCCAAGTCCTGCGAAACACGTAGTCGTTGCCCAAGTAAATGCAATACCGTTTTTCTCGTTCTCGTGAGTTTATCAGCGATCGTTTAATCATGCTTCGCGTTCTCTGCAGCCTCCGCAGGCACAACAGGGACCGCTGCAGATTCAACCATCTATCATATCGCAGCAGGCTGTTGCTGCGGCAGCTGCGGCTGCTCAGCAACAGTACGCAGCAGTACCCGTGTCTATGGTGGAAACTGGACGTCAAATGTTGCTAACGGTACGCATGGTTCGCCCTGAACAAGTTTCGAATCGTTCGCGAGCGATCGGACGATAGTACGTTCGTTTGTCTTGTTACAGAACGCTGTACAAACATCGTGGCCCGGTGGAAGTCGTCAAATGGCCGCCATCGTGCCGTCGTGGCAGCAATTGCCGCCGCAACACGCAGCCATACAACAGCCGTTGCTGAGCGACGCTGGAGATTGGGGAAGACCTCTTATCGTGGACAGTTCTGCCATCTTGCAGGTAGGTCCGGTAGAAATGATCGTTTTGGTACAGAGACCGAACAGTTTTTCAACTAATCTCCCTTGTTTTGGGGAAGGATCAGCGGCCAGTATTTCCTGTCACGGAAGTTTACAACACCAGTGCTCTTGTCGAACATCCGTCTCAGAGTTGGGGTAAACGTGGCGGAACGAAACATCATCAGCATCACGTGACGGTACCGCAGCAGTCCCAACACAGGCACGAGCACAAGAAAGAGACGCAACAGCTGAGTCCGGTAAAAAAGAGGGTAAAAGAGAGCACACCACCCAGCAATATGAGGAGGCATTCGCCTACCGGTGGTCATTGGCAACAACAAACGATGCAACAGCATCATCACAGCAGCAAACACAACAGCAGCCACAATGTAGAGCATCATCAGGTTACATCCGGTCGGCAGCAAACCATCACGATCCACGATACACCATCTCCGGCAGTCTCCGTTATCACGATTAGCGATAGCGAGGACGAAACACCTGGCAAATGGTAAGCTACCATACATTGCTCGCATTTACAGTAGAATATTCGAACGTAGTTAGAAGAAAGTATAATCTGTAGTCATAAAATTGACCGGAGGACGACTTCGTAATTGTTATGAACGTAACGGGATCGTTACAATTAGCCAAGAATCATAGAACGCTGTTATTTTTTGCTTTGTTGAAAGTTTTGTACGGCTTTGTTGATATAGAAGTATGATCATCTCGATGTATCATCTACGAATTGTAATTATCCTGTATATATCGAGTTGCGTAAACAGGAGTTCTCGTTTATAAACGTAACCGTAGCATATGTATATTTACTAGAATTTTATCAGTAGAATAGAAAGTAGTGGAATCATGCATGAATGTCATTGACAGCTGTGGAGATCGCCAATGTGGAACCTGTCAAAATTTGGCGACTCGCCTGTCTGGCGATGGGCGTCCAATCCGCGAGGATGTCATACGAAGGTACATTACCGTAATGTAATAATTGCAACACACACAATAGGTATAGTACATATCGATCGATCGGTTAACAATCTCTAAGATTACGACGTAACACACATGACGGTGCACACATTTCGCAGTTTACATTTTAAGCATTAACACGTTTGGGTTTGTTTGGTAGTTACGATGAAAACATTTTCAGGAACGCGTGCACGACCCTAACAATCCCATGACTTACAGCTCTGGCGTTTGATAGAATTTTGTCGCGTTCGATGCAATTTCTAATCTCTAAATTCTGGTGGAGTTATTGAACGTTCGATCTATTTTACGCGCAATTGAACGTATTCGTTTTTAATTTCAGTACGCAGTCGACGCCGCGCGTAGTCCAACCAATGCAACAGACTCATTCGAGTAGTCAGTCCCATACCAACGGGCATGTTGTAGCGCACAGTACTTCTCAGAGAGCTCAGCGGAAAAATATTATTAGTTGCGTGACAGTCGGTGACAGCGACGGTGAAGCTAGTCCAGGCCGAGCACACACTCACCTGTACCAACATTTACCGCAGCATCCTCAGCATCAGCAGACCACACAGTTAATCAAACACGAACCCCAGCAACAGCATCACGTTAGCAGGTAATCAGCTTGTCCGATCAAAGTCGTAATACCCAACCGAATACGTGCTCGATACGTGACGTAAATCTATTGTTCGTTGCAGCAGCAGCTCCGGATATTCTTCTCAATCGCAAAAGAAACGATTACTGGCAAAAGTACAGTCCGAATGCAATATGGTAAATGTTGCGACCAAGCCGGAACCCGGTGTCGAGTACCTCGCTCCACATCCGTGTCACGCGCCAGCCTGCAAAGAGCCACCGACCTACCAGGTTAATTTACAACTTAAATTTTCATTCACATGATTTTATTTTCAACTGCATTCTTTTTGTTACGCAATTGTTTCCATATGATCCTAGTTTGTTCATTATTATTGATAATCAACTGCTCCGTTTGCGAGCGTATCGAAGAGAACGACAACGATCCTGCTCTACACTTATTGGTTCATATCCCCTTCCCGTTTTTTAGTAATCTTTCGTTTGAAAATGTTTTTCTAGGATGATGCCTATGACATGCATGACTACTTCTTGCAGTATGTGACCACGAGTAGCGCGCATCCGCATCTTCAAGAGCAGCACATCGTGTATACGACCGGCACGGACAAGCGGGTATCATGGCCTGGAAAGAGAACCGAGTACAAGCACGAGTACGTTCAACCGCCGGCTGCTCATTCGAGAGACCACCAAAAGTGGGCGGTCGCCAACACTGTGCATCAGTATAGGTGAGCGGTTCCATCACATTTTACACTCGAAGCATGCGATACGACACATAGATGTAAAGAAGAATCTAGGAATAAAGAACAGACCCCTAGATACGAGTAAGAATTCGTGTGCACGTAGTTTGACGGAATCAAAAGTTCGTTGATTCGTTCGGTTTGGTCTCTGGTCGTCCGTTTGGAATACAGATGTGTCTTACAGTAAGTAAAAAGACGCATGGGAATTGCATAACAAAGGGTTGGATTTTGTTTTGGGTTTTGTAGGCAGAGCCAGGTGGTGGGTTCGGCAGCCCATCCGGGTCATACCCACAGTCATCATGGGCATCCGGCCCACCTCAGTCCTGGGGGCGGTGGTGGTGGCAGAAGTCCTGCAGGGGGGCCTGTAATAGGAAGTACCCAACATCTGGGACAACCCCTGTACCAGGAGTACGCCCATGTGCGTTCAAGGGCCCATGCCGTGCCACCCCCGGTGTACGTTACCGCCGCGCCTTCTCAGGCTCCCACTGCTATCCAGCAGCAACAAGTGCCCACCTATCAGGGATTCACACCCGGGTGGGTACCTAGACACCTAGTTGATGCATGCATGTGTGTACCATTTATTATATTTTCGTTCTAGTAATAGTATCAGTTCAGTACGTTATAATCCTGTAATCGTACGTAGTCGTTGCAATTATTAGAGCAACATGTTCCCGTGCCAGTTTTACTAATTTCTCTCTATGGCATGCTACGAGATTCGATACAGTTCTGTTTTTTCGAGGTACACGTACGGTGTTGCGCCTTTAAATTGCTTAGTTCGTACAAGATGGACACGTCGATTGCCTGCTTATGTACAGGCTGATTCTCCCGCGAGTAAACGATATCGCTGTTGATATTTATTTTTGATAAAACCATGAGTGCGTGTAGGACGAAAAAATTATCATATAAGAAAACAAAATATTTCATTTACCCTTTTTTTAGAGCTTTATGGAGAGTTTCTAACATTGATTATCCCGTTTTTTACAGCTCGTCTCCATTAACGTTGTATGATTCTAGTCGAGCGTTGCCACCACCAGCTCATCACAGCTCGGCCAGGCCGTTGCTCGCGAGTCATGCAGCACACCCACTGCCTGCACACATGCAGCCAACGGCCGTATACGGATTGGCTCCGCTTTCGCCGGCCAAACATCAATATCAGCCTTCTGGTTTGTGGTTCACCGAGTAAATTGTACCTCTGTCTAGCTCAAGATAAGAGATACCGTATGGCGTGCGAAAATTAACGCGATACCAGATTACAAGATAACTATCGAACGAAAAGAAAAAGAGAACCAACCAGGTATTACAACATCCTATGCATTCATTCTTTGTAAACTTTCTACTAGCGAACGAAGGGAGCTCTTCGCGATGCTGCTGCTGCTGCTATTGATTATGAAAACGCAATGAAAACACACACACACACACACACACACACACACACATACACTAAGGCTTAACGAGAAAATTCATGACTGAAGGAGACTCTACCGAGTCCCGAAGCAACACAGAAGTCGCTCTACAACATTTCAGTTTCTGACAATCCGTCCTAAGCAGCGATTGATTGCTCCTTTCAAAACTGCCCGTCTGTTAACGAATGGAGATTATCTACGATTCGAATCGTAGCAAAGGCAGATTAACGAACATGATCCGAATGTTGGATTAACTATCGATCGGCATGCGTCGTGCACGGTTAACGTAAACGCTTCCCTTAATGTTTCATCCTGCCCATCGATAGTAGGCGAGTTGTCTTTTTCATTTCGTTCGATGAGACGAGGTTGCGTGTCGATGAAATGTACAAAATAAGAGAAACGACACAAAGAGAGGAGGCTTTTTTACGCTTCCCGTCGCGCAACACTGTTTCCTCAGTGAACCATTTGCTACGGTGATTTGTATTATTTGTATTATTTGTTCGAGCTGTTACTTTGGTAATACACTGGTCGACGTACAATTTTGTCCGACTTAGGCGGCGCATATGTTATACACGTGACACGGTACATATACAGTTACAGTATTTTCTGACGAGTTGTCACGATTTTTACCTAAGACGGTTGTCGTAAAGTTGTTCCCAACGCTTCCTGAAATTGCCCACACCGTGTTAACTGTATTTCCCGCTCGTTCTCGTTCCCCGATGCATACAAAAGGCTGAGCAAACCAGAAAGATAACAGCAATCAAATGTCACTAGCCTCTCTGAGATGTTGTCGTAGCTCGTACAACTTTTCAGAAAATACTGTACGCATGTATTATATGTATACCAAACGTTTCGTGACTTTTGGGAGAGTGAATGTTGTTGTCGCGCCAAAGAAAATTTTACGGGGACGTTGTGAAAAGATTGTAACTCGCAGAGACGAGAGAAATTTATGCGCAGTTTAAGCAGATAAAACCAGAGACGTTTGGGTGGTTTCCGGTGAAGTTGTGTCGCTTCGCCGCGAAACAGCAAGCGTATTTTTATCGAACCACGGCGTTACAGCGGGGATATAAGTTTGCATTTCTTTTACGATGATACTTCAGATCCGTATCATGCATAATTGTTTTTAATACTCGGTGACAAAAGTTATCTTTGGTACGGGAGAATTCCCGATCGTTTGGCGACGACGATACATCGCATTGTTTTCGCCCGGTTGAATTTCAACCCAGCCAAAAGATTTTTATCGTCGAGTGCAGCGACACGCTTGAACGTTTGAAACGTTCCCTTTTCAAAACGTAGGCTCCCTTCCTGTTTCTTCTAGGGGTAAATAGGGAGCCGATCTATTGCACGCGTTCACAAGAACATATTATACACAACGCTACTATACGCGACATATTGATTAATTGTAAAAATGTGTTTTGAGTTTTATCGTCCTAGATTTATTTCAAGCTGTCTCAAGTATGCTTATACATCCTAGTAATTCGGTGTCCTTTAGAGGATGTGGTTATTACGATATGGAAGCAACGCGCGTGGTTGAGTTTGAAATCGAATACTTCTCGTGTTTCGATTCGAATGGCGAACAGGTGGAATCGCGCACGGTAACTTGTATTTGACAAAAGCTGTACCTCCTCGCAGCAGCCTCACTATTTATTTGTTTCGCGTAATTAATCTTATTGTCCCCTCGTCGTAACTATTACTGGTTACTATTACTATCGTTACTACTACTATTATTATTACTATTATTGCAATTAGGCATCATCGTATTTAAGGTAATTACCAGGAGTTCGAAGTTTTGCCTCTTCTTTTTCTTTTAGATACCGCGTTTTAAATAGATTTACGCGTTAGGATTGTTCGATAATGAGATTCACGTTTAGCGTTATGCAGATTCACAATTAACGTTCGACATGCTTCTTCATCAATGATCATACGCATCCTTCTCTTTTCTATATCGCGTTTCAACGTTTTGCATTTCACCGAGGGTTGTAGTTTAAGAATGTACGCGTCGAGTACATTGCACAAATCAGCGGTACACAATTAATTAGTACGATCCAACACGATGAATTAGCGTTTCGGGAGAGACGAGAATCGATCCACGGGACACGTTTTCGAATACGATTTCTATCGGAAAGAAACCTTCGTTGCAGATGTTATTATGTCGGATTGCACACGCGTACACATACATACACACACGAGTAAAGAAACTTTCTTCGGCGTAGATTCAAGTCGACGCAAGTTTTTAGCTATTTCTTTCAGTTCCCCTCGTTGAATCATGTTCTTCCTTCTCGCACTTTTCCACGACAGTACGAAGAAAGGCGATGTTTCTAATGTCTCTTTGTAACGTGTATTCGTAACGGCGAACAAACTGCATCCGGTATACACACGTGAGTGTCCAAAATGTGGAATTGTACATAATTATTACGAGTAGCTCTCTTCCTACATTTCGATGTTCAGCAGCTGTAAAAGTGGTAGATCGCGCGCACATCGTTCTTCTACTCGCGACACTTTTAAGGATAAAAAGAAAAAGGAAAGGAGGATAGAGGTTTTTTCCGCGTGCGGACGTATATTTCGTGGTTTTTAATGGAATGACGCTTAGGCATTGTTTTGCTAATTATTTTATATACATAGCTGTATGATAAACGTGTACGGGAATATTAGCTGTGGTACGTTGATTAGAGTGATCCATGTCCAGAGTTTAATTAGGAGTATTTTACACGTAGAGCGAGAGTGTGAGTGAATGATAGGGTGATACATAGAGGCAGACATAAAAACAAAAGGATGCTACAGTAGGGAGAATGACGAAGTAAGATTTTTAGATAACATTATCACGATTCCGCGAAACTAAAAGAAAATTTTCAAAGTTTTAATAAATACGACACGAGGACGCTGCTGATTCGCTACTTTCAGTCGATAGAATCGTAGATATTGATATCGGTTATACAGAGACCACGGTTTCGTTTAAAAAGTGTCTAACAATAGTTGTTTCTTTTTCAATTTATTGCGACGCGTCTATCAATACGAAACGAGAAAAAGATTACATATAACCAAGTCGATGTGCCTGTTTAATCATACTTACGATTAATCATACTTAACGTTTGTATATTTACTGGAAACAAGGGGGAAAAAATGGTGACGATAGAAGGAGGGGTTGCGGGGTTGCGTCACGAAGGGGTTGCAGTATAGAAAGAGAAAAAAATTAGTTAGAATCAGCATGAGTGCTGTACGTTCTATCACACGATACGAACGTACGATTAATTAACATACAAGCACGTTCGCGCGCATACATGTGTATATATATGTATGTATGCTTCCATGTAGAACTTAGAGGGTTGTATAGCATAGAAGAAAACCTACCTTCTCTTCTCGCAATTCGCGAGATAAAGTCATATCCTTAGATTTCACACATTCTACTACCGTAAAGGAAACCGTTGTTAATAATAATAATAATAATAATAATAATATATATGTGTATATATATATATACGCGCGGGTGTATCTATAGAAACATTTTTTTGTTTGTTTATTCCTTCGCGAATCGGTATATGCACAAATACACATTATACGGTGTACACGCGACAGTCGTACGCATATAGTCATTTTCACATGCTTCATTTTCGCCTCTGTATACGTGTTTGGACGTATATGTAGATATATACGTGTCACTAGATCGTAGGTGGAACATTTTTTTTTTCAGTCAGGTTTCTCGTTTCTTTCACCGAAAGAGCAAGTTTTGACTGACGATGCGATGATTCTGTAAATCGTTTAGTGTTAAGATCGTAATTATCGCACCGTGGATTCGGATTAACCGTCGATTAGATTATTTTTATTATTACATTCGTCGTTGTTGATGGCGTGCTGTGGGCATACAAAGTATTCGCGTGGATGTAGAGTTTTATTCTAAGTGGTAGGATATTTTGGAGCCAGATATCGATTATTCTCTAACACATAGAAAATATTGTGGTCGATGTGTTACTAATAACAGCTTTTGGGTTTAAAAAACGTGGTGTATACGCTATTCGCGCATGATCCTATGTTATAATAATAGTAGCTTCTCTCTTAGATGTAGATCGTCAGTCAGTACAAGCTCAAGAGTCATATGTTCAGTCATCATTACTTTTAACACACATTTCTCACCGTATAGTTTAGAAGTAAGCGCGTCGCTGCAACGGAGAGTATCTAATTAACAAAAAAATAGAAGCTATTACTGTACACACACATACACACACACACACACACACACACACACTTATATATATACATATATACTATACTCGGGAAAAGAAATTGAGTAAAAAAGATAAAGGTATACCATAAACTGTATCGATGGTTCTAGTTGTGATATTTTATTAATTATTATACATCGTAAATATTCGCGTGGCGAATATTATTTTGGTCAGGCTTTTTTGAATGGCCAAGCGTGTACACGCGGTGAGATGTGACCACGTATGGAACCGTGTAATCTTTAAGTTAACGGGATCCCATAAGGTTACGCGTTATCGTCAACTCTCGTCACTTCCGATCGGACGATGGGACGCGTTACATTGGCTGCTCGCCAACATCCGCGCGATCGATCTTGCGTATCGGAATGTTCTCGTTAACGTGGCGTTGATCGTTCTGCCGTCGAATTTTCCATTCGTTCGCGGTTTTTCGCGAACCGTAATAACACGACATTTTTAGAGACTGTTTGCGATAGGTTCTCGCTTCCATGTGCCACTCTAAAGCCTGCTAGAGCAAACAGACATTTCCATCCGGTACCATTGATCGTACGCGTCGTTGAGCGCCAGTGTAACGGTCTTTTCATCCTTTCGGGTGACGCGAGACGATACACGAGACATACACATACACGCATACCCATACTAAAAGCTATTATAGAGATAGGATTATTTTAATCGTTTTTAAATTTGTACATACGTTTCTTATCGCATCAGGGCAAGGGGAGGAGCAAAGTGATTTATTAGTCTAGGTGTAGTGCCTAAAATGTTGTAATGAGATTGTGTCCAATAGTGAGTTTATTTAGCGTTGAATCTCTAACGATCGGTCGGGGCGTTCGTACAAAGGGATACGCAAAGTTTCCTCGATTCGCGAACGAACGAGATACGAAAGGGCATATAAAGAAAAAAAAGAAAAAGAAAACGTTGAAAGATGTTGTACGTACGCCCCGAATCGCATAACGAATAGACGTTCGACGAACGAGTTTAGTACTGTTGGAAACGTCAGATACTCGCGTTGAAATGGCCAGAAACGAAGATAAAGAACACATACACGTACACAGGAATCAAAGGGACGGATCCACGAGAAAGAGATCGTTTCTTGGTGGGACTTGGGATTTAACGTTCGATCGCGTTGTATGGGAAAGTTTGTATGAAATTATTATATATTGTCACTGTAAACAAAGTAACTGACTTTTTGCGAGGAATAGATAATTTAAGTAGTTATAAATATAGGAAGAGAATAACATATTTTTGGAGTTACTACTAGAGAATTGATATCGTATTGTGCTCTGTGAGGTCTTTTAAGCGTCTGTCTTCTTGCGTTCTTTGGACTTTAATCGTCGGTAATTGCTCATCACGATCGGACCACATTTACACTACAATAAAAAAAAGAAAATTAAGCGGCCGTGCAACACCCGATTGTCCTGAAACTTTTCGGTAGAACTTTGCTCACGATCTCGTAGACTTTAACTGACAATTGCGCCAGCGCGAGACAAATTACAATAGTCCATAGTTGTTTTTTAACAAAAAAAAGGGAGAAAAAAAAAGAGAGAACGTAACGCAACATTTTCGAAATTTTAAGACGATACGACGAACCTGTCTGCTCGTTCTCCGTACAACGGCTCGATAGTTTTCTCGCTGTACATAAACGAAAAGAGTAAATGATGTCCGATTAGGGGAAGCAAGATCGTAAATGATAAATCGCGCGAGTAAATTAGGATAGAATCGACGAGTTCAACCTATTTGACTGTTCTTCGATGTTCTTAATGTTCACTATTACACTATGGTAATGTCGCAAATTAATATTAACGGTATTACTTGCATTATTATATACGTTCGTCGACTTTACGCATAATGCTATACAAGTAAGTGATTAAACGATAAATTAAACATGGAGGTGGACATTCGTGTACAAAAAAAAAAATAACACATACACAACATCACCGCTTAGACGTTGTTAATCGTTAACAGTTTTTCATCTTTATGGGTGACGGATTTTTTAGATCGATATAATTAGACACGCCTTGGCATATAGTTAGAAACAGTCTCTTCGATGTAGAAGAAAGTAGAAAAAAAAAATTCGATGTTTCGACGTTCGTACGGTTTACGATTAGTATTCTTCTTCATTTTTTTCGTCTTGTTCTTGACGATACACGCAAACATTTCGAGCGTTTCGTTCGTGCCACGTAAATACCTATACATATATTACCTGCTACGAGATATAGGGTTGTTCGATTTTTAGAAAAATGGCTCGGGTAGGAAAGGAATCTTTTCTACGCGTCGTTCCAAGAACATTGGTTATTTGTTCGCTTGGTCTCTTCGAGGTGTTTTTAGTTTCGAAGATTACGGAATTGTTTCGGTACAAGTTTCATTTCACTGTGCTCTGTATATTTTCTTTGCGTACGCCGTCGTCGATACTAGTTTTCGCGACGGTCGTTCGATGTAGCCGAGAAAAGGGAAATAGATGCTTGATGGTTAAGGAAAACTAGAGAAAGAAAAATCGTAACGAAGTTAACACAGGTCTATATTAACAACTCCGTGTAATTTAGAAGTTTATGCGATCGTACGAATAAGCCGAACTTGCTATTACTGATTACAACCTATCGTTATATGGCTATACTATATATTTGTACCATGTATGAATGTTCGTCTTTTGTGTATTTTGATTATACTATGATAGAGGAGTAGCGCCATTTATACTATTATTATTAATAATCATTCTAACGTCGTTGTGATTACGAATACTATTGTATTATTTTTCATCGATGCCGCGCGGGATATTACAATCGATTCTAAATACGCGGCTTTGTTAACACGTTCGATTTTTATTGCGATCTCTTAGTCCGATATCGGTCGTTGGAAATTTTTATACATCGTAGAGTTTGAACTTGAACACCTCGACAAAATCCCATCGATCAAATCTATGAAGCACCTCGATCTTTTCATCTTCCACGACGACAATGATTTAATCTGTTGTACTTCGAAGGCACTCCGCCTCTGTTTCGTTCTTCGATTGAAAATTTAGAAACGGTTCGTATTGGCGATTTCGGCCAACTTAGTTTTCCTTCTACTGAATTTTCAAAACGTCTTTCTGCGAAATATTTTCGTAGCATTGCCTTACTGGTATATTATTATAGACATGTACGATAATTACACACCTATACACATAGCACACGTGACACCCTTCGAGCGGATAAGTCATTCGTGCCGTCGATTAATATACTGTTTGCCAAACTTCTTTATCCCATTATACGACGTACGGACCCAGTTGTGTAAATGTATAAATTGTAATCGCCGCGTGCGCTCGAATTTAGCGGCATTTAACCGCGTCTTTCGAGCTTGGAAGTTCTCGTTGAATCGGTACTCGGTAAGGAATAATTTCTAACGTAAAGACGATTCTATTTTAATCCGAGACATATTACGTTCGATCGCAATGAATTAATGAAAGACGTACCACAAACGATACCGATAACAATTGCTAATTCGTTTGAACTTTAATCCGTTTATAGCTGGAAATAACGTTGATGTTCAATACGTTTAAAAATTGTAAGAATACCGGTCTCGCCACTATCGATCGACGAACACTAATGTATATATTTTATACGTAAACAATTTCTTAAACAGCATTGGCCAGGAACCGTAGTCGATCCATAGTTGAAGGACACGTCGATGTATAGTTTCCCGCGAGGTTCGACAATATTTTATAGATTTCTTATTACCGTTAGGGCATCGATCGTTGGACGCGTTTCGGTAGCGTAAATTCGAGCGTAAGCGGACCCTTCGTACGACCATGCATCTAGCAACATAGTAACCCCGATTGATCGCCGGTCGAGGCGATGCGAGAATAACGCAAAGTTTCTAAAAGGCGGTATTTAGCGTAAGAGAAGATACACAAAACGAGAGAAATGAAATGAAAAACTGTTTTTTAAGCTTTCGCAGGAAGTCTGTCTCAAAGTATTATTAAAACTCTCAGGCTGCGCCGATTGTCTTTGCCCGCGTCGCACGACGTGCGCGTTGGCGCACCGTCGCGAGGTCGTCGAATGAAAGAACGACGGTGTTCAACGACACATCCGGGTATCGAATCGCCGAAGCGCAATTACGTACCTAACTTTCCGTTTGATTCTCGTCGAGAAACGGTTTGCTTGTTAGAATTATTTAACGACAGTGGCTCACGCGAGTCCGTAACGATAATAATTGCTGTCGCAACGGAACTACCCGGCCCGACGATCAATTTGTTTAACAGTAGAGCGTGCCTTATAATCGACGATCCGACCAGAATCCTCTTTAGAATTTCGTTCGACCGGACTAATCGTTTTCCCCCCAAAGCACTGATCGTCTCGCGTTCGTGCCCGGCTGTCCCTTTGAACACCGCTTCTAATATATGCATATACAAATATTATGTAATAGGATTAAAAAAAACAATGAAATATCCATTGCTTGCGCGTGCGACGAATTATTTCAGAGGTCGACCAGAGTACAAAGCGTAGATTTAGTTTGGTCTTTGGAAATAGTTTGCGCACGCGACCCCGGAATCGATGTCGTCGTCGAACGTTCGAAAACCGATTTGAAGCAACGCGTTAACGAGACAAAGATAGAGAGAGAGAGACAGAGAGAGAGAAAAAAAAACCAATAAGGATAGGGTAAAATGAAAAAAGATAAAAAAAAAAAAATAACAAGTAGCTTCGAAGATACGTAGCGGAGAACGCTGTTACCGTTTCACGGCGTTGCGTCGACCGAGTGTATCCGACTCCCGTTGTTTGGGCTCTTTTGTATCCGACAATAAAAAAAAGAAACGAAAGAAACGCGCGAACCAAGGGACAAGAGAGAGCGAAGCGCTTGGCGCTCTTCGACGCCCACCGCGAATCAATTACCAGAGACAAATCAAAAGTACTTAGGCTTAAATCGCTTCGCGACCGAGCGTGTGACCCGAATCGCTCCAACGCTGTCGTGTCAACCGCTGAATATCGCGAAATACAATCGATCTACCAAGGCTCGTCGCTCGGTCGACGCAACGTTTCTCAGGGCATTTGCGGACGAGACACCCGTCATTTTACCGATTAATATTATCAAATGCTTGCTCGTTACCCGCGCCCCGTGCGTGGTCTTGTTAATCTTCGAAAGAGGAAATAATTGTTTTAATAACATCGATTTCAAGCTGACATCACTGGTGTACAGTGTTAAAATATATACAATTTGAATAAAAATTTTGTAAATTTGACCATAAAGGTCGCGATTGATATTATCGGACACGATCCGGTTCGAACAAAAGTATCTCGTGTTTGTACCATCGATCATCGATCAGCCATCGGTATGTTTGAACTGAATCGCAACGCTGTAGTGTAGAAACATTCGTATCTTATTGTCTGTAAGAATATTCGAACCGGTTCGTGTCCGAACGAGTAACACGTATCGACCTTTATGCTTTACAATTGTGTTCGTACACTTTGAACTTGAACCCTTTGATAAATATCTTTCACTACATTTTCTGTTTTATTAAACTATAATATAGCATTAGGATTGTTATTACATGTTGCATAGCGTTCGATGGAATAGTTGGATATTAAAATGTACTTTAGTCTGAATTTAGTTGTTGAAAGCATAAAAGTAATGGTTCTGAAATATAGTGTGTCGTAGTCAAAGGGTCAAGAATCAGTGTCTCGACGACTATGGTCGGACCAGTTGCAAATTAGCAAAATTAGCCCGACTGTAGCAAAGCGTCGAATCGGTGTCTCGTCCGAAACGATCCTCGCCTAACAGACAACGCGCAGAACACGTTCACGTCTAGGCAACCAAAAAATTCTAATCTCATCGCGGCGCAGCTTGCAACTACTGCAAAACCGATTCCCGGTCGGGTTTGGTAGTGGCAAGCTCCGCAATTCTTCCGACAACAGGGGTCTTACAAAACTAATCGGTGACGACTTACTTAACGAAACGTCTCTCAATTTTTAAGTCGCGCACCGGCATTTAGGTGGTGCATATATCCTTGGGGGCAAGAAGTCTATTTGATATTTATATTTTAATATACACGGGCCGATTATATTTAGTGTATTGTAATTATTGAATATATTAACTGAATAGCCCCGGGGTCTGCTCGTCCAGCGACACGGAAACGAACATTTGCTCGCGACTGTGCGCGGGGAATCAGGATTGCACGCGGATGGAACAATTGCATCGATGGACGAGCAGCCCGCCGGTGTGAAGAACCACGATTTTCTGTATATTACTGTAGTATAATAATCAAACACTAAAGACTAATGCTTAAGGTGATCGACGAGAGCTTCGACGCTCTTCGAAACCGCGTAAGTGTATTCGAGATATTACTATATGCAACCTGAAAGATCGAATACGAGACAAAAGTGCGAATGAGAAATAAAAAATTTGGTACGAAACGAAAGAGAGAGAGAGAGAGAGAGAGAAAGTGAGCGAGCGCGCGAGAGAAAGAGAGAGAGAGAGAGAGAGAGAAATAGGTACACGCAGCGGTACAGGCGTCTCACTATGTTTTAAATGGTTAATAAATGCAAATGTCCGTGTACTCGCTCGGACACTTCATGAACTGAGTTCGCTGTGTCACGACTGTATTCTTTATCAAACGTTGTCCTTTTTTTTCTCGCTTTTACGCACCGTTTCGCGTCCTGTTTCGATGCTACCGTCGTTTCGTCCGTTTTAATTCGATTTATCGTTCGCTTTTTATTCCACGAAGCTCGAGAAGAGTCGTATTTTCCGTTTCGTCGAAGACAGACGAACGCGACGTCGCTTTTTCCACAAGTGCATCGTTGCATTAATGGGAAAAGCGGAGGTCGTAGAAAGATCGAAGCTTTCCTCTGTTACTTTTGTCTTCGACGAAACGCCGGGATGTACGATCCGTTTCAATCGTGCGACGCGTAACTTCGTTGGAAAACGTTCTTTGCGGACAGCCTGTAACGTGTTTCGTTCCCGAAGGAACATTCTGTCAGTTTCGAGGAGCACGAAAAGTGTGTTGTATTGCTACTTTGTAGCAACAATTCCATCGCCGGTAACAATTCGAAGGGAAAAGAGATTGTAACGTACAAAATTACTTCCTGTATTCTGTGCTTTCTGCTGTCGGAACACTTTCACGATGCGTCGTCGATAACAATACCTGGCATCACGGCAGAGAAAGATTGCGATCCGTCGTATCGTTTAGAGAGATCGAGGAATTTCCCCGTCGATGATCGCTACGATACAGTAGAATCTCGATAATCGCGCGAGAAACGGCTGAAGATCCCTGCAAGTATCGGGTCTCGTGTGCAATTAACGAGTCGATTCCTTCCACTTGCAACTTCGATCGTTCCTAAGCGATCATCAAACTTCTACTGTATCTCGTTCGATCGACGATGGATCCTTTCGACAATACGCAGACCGAACCGTTCCAAACACGCAGGTCCGAAGAGAAGCTTCCGAAAGAGTTAACTAATTAATCACTGTACCTGTTATATTTACTACTTAAGCCCGCAATTAAAGGAACCGAAGTTTGATCGCAGCGACGAAACGTGATCGTCGCGAGACATTGATCAAAAAGAGCCTCGACGTTTTTGCGAACCGACAGATCCAGACGCGATTCGAAGCGGAGGCTCAAACGAAACACGTCCCTTTTTATAACTACGCGAGTACAGATTTTTAGCGATGCACGCTGTGCATACCGATTCTTCTCTCGAGCGAGCAAAGAATACCTTCGACGCGTCTCGTTCGTGTCTGTTTCTTCTCCGATCTGAACATGCTTTTAGCGCGACACGTTCTAGGTACAGATATTTCACGGTCGACCCGTCGCGATGGGGGACAGAATAAAAAGCGTAGATTTTTACGATGCTCGTAGGACACGTTTAGAGAGTTGTTGTAACTGTATTGTAATTAGAGCGACGGATTCGTAGCGCGTAAACGCCGAACACTTGTACCATAATCGTGTATTCTCTGTAGTTTTTCATCGTTAGACGCTAAGGACAATTCTCCTGTTTTAAGTAATCGACCAAACGGACTAACGTTATCTTCCAGAAAGCTTATGGTAAGACGACCGGCAATTTTCAACAAAGAGGCCTCGACACGACGAGGCTTGCCTCCAGGCATGTCTCGCGACAAGCGATTCTCCAAATAGTCGAAAACCCATCGCTTATCGCAAAACACATCGAGGCAAGTCTCACCGTGCAGAGAGCATCTTAAGATTATATCGAATACCGGAAACGCGACGAATCACATGCTTATTTCGTATAACACGATTCGATCAACTAACAGTGGACGTAACACTTTGCAAACTGGAATTCCAAAAATTCTCCGGGATCCTGCACGCACCTTCGGTTTCGGCACGTTGAGTTCAATTTTACGCCACTGATTAAAAATAAACGTAATTCGGAAAGCAACGGTTCATTCGAAAATGAAAATTGCAAAGCTCTCCTATGGGGAAAAAGAAAACACATATCGGTGTGGTTACGCGAAATTCTCGATGGCTATAATATCCTTCTCAGGCCAAATTTCCAAAGGAATGGGCGCGGGAAACATCAAGAGCCGCGATTTCCGGATCGAACGATACTTGACTTTCTATTCATACTTGTTCTCGATTTCTCGTGAAACGTACCGTTCACCTAGATAGTACAACAAGAGTAGAAGTTCCTCGCAAACGTTATTAAGAAGCGAGACTGTTCTTTCGATTGCAAAAAGACATCCGATTCAACCGATTAGGGAATTTAAACGGTTTAGATGTAGCGCGACCGGAGCAGTTGCAAAACGATTTTAGAAGGTTTTTCAAAATTCACGCTTCCCGTAGCTTGCGACGTGCGGCGATTTTTTCATGATGCCCCCTTCGATAAACCGAGGGGAATCGTAAACAGAGAAGCGTGAAGCGAACGTAGGTAACTGCGAGATACAATAAATACGGTTGCAGCAGTCTTGGTAAAGCTGATAGAAAGGAAAAAGTAACGCTTGTGTTTCCGTGTCTGTCGTTTAAATTGTTTCGTTTTTCACCGGCCGGCGTTATCGTCGAGATATATCAATTAAATTCGTACGGCGAACAGCAAGTCTCGTCAACCTTTATTAATATTCGCGATACCGTAACGTTGAAGCTAACGAGTTCGAAATAGAAAACGGATCATGTACTGTCTAAGCATGCGACTGAATAATCACCTGAAATTATTGTATATCGCGTAATACGGTAGAAGACGATAGTCAACGATTGTATAAAGTGTACGACATTTTCGAGCATTTGTTATATACATATATACATACATGCATATATACATATAATATATACCTGTACACGCACACCACAAACCAGGGTATATAAAAACGATTGCACAAACCAGATCGTGCGAATTCTTCTTCCAAAAAAAAAATCGAAAAATCATTTACCATTTAGCAAGCTGAGACTTTGTTTTCGAGATATTAACAACATTTAAAATGTCATGCGAGTGGCGACAGTCTGATCGGGATATAGATAACGCCTGTCGAGAATCACGTTAGTAAACATTAATCTTAAAATGGTAAAAGATTTTTCGCAGAAGGAATTCGTATGTTTCGGCTTGTCCTATCATTTATAAACACTATGTATGTATATATACGTATGTATGTATATGTATATGTATATGTATATGTGTATATATATATATGTATACTTGTAATAATTGATAAAAACCAGGGTAAATATTACTGTTATCTGTGTGTAATATTTAAATACCACGTACGTATTTTCCATTCGCGCGTCTCTGTAATAGCAATTGCGTGTTTGCACCAACGAGATAGAAGAGGAAAATGTGTATTAAATGATAACGATAATAATAATAATAATAACAATAACGACAGACACGCCCGGCGACGCATTTATTGTAAATAACGGTAATAAAAACTATTATATTTAAACAAAACCCCTCGATTCGTTTAGCAGGCTCGAACACATTTATGCAAAACGCGTTGAGAGGATCAAGACTAAAAGAAGAAGAAAAATTGTAAAGCATGTAAACTCCGTAAACTGTCATAGATTTATATTACTCGTTATCGCTCCTGCCTATTCGCAATTTTTAAACTGTAATATCTTATAAACACGTTGGACCAAGTCGTTGTGAGCACTAGTCCATGAATTTAGAAACGGTTCCCAGATGGTTTCCGATCGAAATTTTCTGGTAGCTTGTGCCCCGCGAATACCGATTCTTCTAACGACTGAAATTACGCTGCACGAAGAATTTCTGTGTTTGTTTCACGGCAATCCGATTACCAAAATTGTGTATCGGTCAAACATTCTTTGAAATACGTTATAGTTGCCTAATACTTGGATAGCATACTGCTATATTTGTTTTATTAAATATTATTAAAGCGTTAGATCGATTCTTTTTATATCGTTTCGAGTTATTTATTCTAATTTATAAGAAAAATCGATTAGTACTCTGATTATTTACGATAACCGATCTCATTTCTCATGATTTGTAAATAACGACGGAACGCAGGCTACTAGAGACGCGACGCTCACATCGACAAGGCTTGTAAAACGGAAGGCTATTTCGTAGACGTCGAAATGTTTCTTAAATTTGACTGTCGTTGCGTCTCGCGAATCGCCCCGATAAGATCGTGAATGTAAATTGCAATCAGTTTCGAACACGAGACCGTGACACGATGAATTTTCTTAACGAACGTAGTATTTTTCAATGCACCCGTTTAATTTCTATAACATAAGCGCCTACGGAAACCTCGAATCAATTGGAATACGTATATTCGCGAACACGCCGATGGTTGCACTCTTTGTACATATAATAACGTTGAACGGCGAGCAAGTTACTATTGTCATATGGTACATGTACATATTCATATATACTGATAGATCGACGATAATAACGTTACGATACTACTACAAAGTGAATGTTGCCTTTTGTCACATTGGTTAATTGTAACGAAGAGACAAAAACAAAACAAAAAAAAAAAAGAACAAATATTGATGAAACTATGTACGATTGTATTAACGACAACTAATAACAATTACTATCTATTGTATTACGAGTACTAATTAACAATTACTGCGTACAATATGGAGATTCGTATGATTGTAAATGATATGTGTTGCGTTGATATGTATCGCGTCCCTGGATTGAATTGGGGGCTGTGAAAATAAATCAACCAGACACTTTGTTGGCCTTCTATATTGCCCTGACACACAGGAATATTAATATATGGGTCGACCGAGTGATGTCTTTTTAATAAACACTAGTGCCTGATGTTTCACAAATTTCAGTTATCTTCATTTATTTTTCATTCACAGATATGGTATAAATACTAATTCTATTTTCACGAAGACGGAATTAGTGGTCAGCGAGCATGTATGATTCGATTCCATCGGCCGGATACATTAGCCGACGAGACAAACTTCTTTCGACGGTTTTCAAGCGAACAGCGAACGGTTCGAGATATCGTTACTCCGTAGAGCTGATAGGATGAATTTCTTCCGCGTGTGCAATGGTCGGCACGATTTTTATCGCGGAAGTAACAATGGTGTTTGACGGCCCGTGAAAGAAGTACATCCTAAATCCGGCTGCTAGCAGAAGATGCATCCCAAGAATTACCGCTATATATATCATTCTATATTTCCCTAAAAATTGACCAGTTCAACATCAGGTAATTTCATCATCATAGCCATTTCATTAATAGTTTCTTACACGACTACTGCGGCTTTTTACCTTCTATTACAGGCATCAAAGATCTTAATAAAACTCCACCGGACAAAGCAGTTGCTATTACCACCAAACTCCATTGTAACCATCCGATTTGTATTGTCCAGAGGAAGGCTACAGGGACATAGATGGCTAGAGAGTAACCATAAAGGCACAGGAGTTCTAAGAGGCCTGGTGTCGTGTAAGACTGAAATAAAAGTATCTTTTTGTAGATTATTACAAGCATTGTCTGTAAATACAAAAGAATAATATAGAACCTCGATTAATTCTTCTTCTGTGTCTCTTGTGCTAGCGGTCCATTTCAAGGCACCCCACAATGTCATTGGTAACAGCCAAGCATATAAAAATATACATGTAGCAGCGTATGATACAATGTGAAATTCATACCTCCAGTGATATTTCCCTGAATTGGCAGTTTGCAAGTAATCAGCCAAATTTCCACTAACTGCTATAGAAAATACCAATGTGACGCAAATCCAGAATGGACCATAAAGATCCGGATTAGGTCTTATGTGAGAAATTAAATAGTTTTCACTGCCATGTGGAATCATAGATCGTTTGATTCTTTCTACAACGTCGTTTGTGTTCACGTTAAAGAATTTCTGATAATACTCTATCGTCCAAAAGCTACGTTGCAATGCATCTGAGGAAGGAAAAACATTACTACTATCTAAACTATCTGTCTTAAACTTATATCTTAAAAATAACATTGTCAAATTGTTAAACCTTCGCTTTTATCGGGCATCCCTTGCAGATCCTCGATAATGCCGATACCCGTCGCGTCATTGGATAGGTTATTAAATGTTTGATGACTGGATGCATGGACATTTAATTGTGCCTGGCCAATGTTCCCTTCGTGATGTATCGAAGGGAAATCTTGGAAGGAAATGAACTGTTGCTCGTTAGCTTGCGATTGACTTCCATCCATAGCTGACTATTTTACACCTTTTCACGTCGATTTGACAACTGGCAGACACACATAACACATAACAACTACGTGTTATCACACTCGGTTGATAATCATCCAGTCATTAACAGCACCATCTAGCAATCATCGCTAGTATCGCGGACGAGCCATAGAATAAATCGAACCGTCTTGGTTCACGCGAACTAAGAACAGAAAAATGCATTCAATGTCCAGCTTGCATATTTTGTACTCTTTATGAATGCAAAAGTGCGATTGTAACTATGTTTAAAATAATTAATGATAGCCAAACTCAATTATAATTGCCGCCATTCTCTTTGCACTGTGATCGTTTTCTTTTCTGGATTGGTAACGTCGACTGCGACACGAAAATGCATTGGATGATATCCTATATCAGATCACGTATACGTGAACTTGTAGAGTTTCGGAGAGTCGACAAAGACAAACTGACACTCGTCCTCTTCCTCGATTCTCCGAAGCTGTCCGAAATGCATCCGTACTCACTGTCCTGTACCCTTCGTATGTAGTTGTGTAGTAGCAGTTGATTGACTCGGATTGACAGTTCGAGCAACACAAACGCAAGAATTATTTAAAACACAGTCTAATACCGAGCCAGTCTTTCATTATAACGTTTATTAACAATGTATTCCATTTTGTAAGATCATTAGATTGATAAAAAAAGGTAAAGTGTATATTTGAAATTGTTTGCTTTTAGGCGCGTATACTTTTCCTGGAAGTATACAAACTTTCGTTGCTTCGTTTTTGTATATTGAGAATAAAATTATTAATCGCGGTGTTACATATGAGAATGATTGTTATTTGTAAAGGTAACCGAGTATTATTTATTTTTGAACAGGTTAGGGTGATACTGGTCTCGCGAAATTGTGTTGGCGGCGACCACGTATTGGAACAATGATACAACGATCTACCAAACTACTGAGACTCCTTTATAATACTAGCCGCTATAATAACGATTGTTTGTACATATTTCAAGTAGGATATGCTAAGAGGTGTGCCAGTACTTTGTTAACACACAATCATAATACAAAATGCAAGTTAAACGTTATTACGTACGGTCAGGAGGCTTTTGGTACCAAAATAATGGGGCATTCGGAAGAATGGAAATGGATACTAATTACAATGACAAGGTCAATTTCTGTTGTTGCAAAGATGCAGAAAGACAAATCTGGGAACCTGGTTAAAAAGCCAGAGGATCAATCGCAACATACAATAATAGAATTCAAAGAAGAGAATTTAGGTCAATTGAAAGAAAGAAAATTGGATGTCAAACCTGTTCCTACTGTTGATAATCAAAGCAATAAACAGAAACAGCAAGATCATACAGTGGAAGGTATAACAAATGTTTTTTTTATTAAGTCTTTTGTTTCTTTGATTTTTATTAATACTATTGTTCAAATTGTCTTTTGTATTAAATCATTTTTTTTTAGTAAAAAAGAAAACAAAAGTTGACAGAAGTACATCATCCTTAGAGCGTAATTTTATTACACCGGTTAGAGCTATGTCTGATTTTTTATTGAAGCCTTCAGATCTTGAAAACTTACCAAAGACAAAACGAAGATCGCCGTATGAATTTGAACCACCGATAACTGTTTATTGGAGAAAAGATGTCGAAGCCAAGTAAAATTATGTTAATACTAATTTTAAGATTATACAAATTTTGTATTAATATTCGGTAAACTTGGTTCATTTTTAGAGCATTGGAAGTTTGGGGATCGCGTGAAGCCTTAACAAAGAAGCTACTAAAAAAGGAACTTGAAGAAAAAACGTATCAGCAAAGTAAGGATAATGTATTTGTTTGTACTACATAATCTTCGAGATACTTTAAATTGAGATGGAAAATAAATTTTACAGGAATAATTGTTGCATATTTTATTATCATAAATGTCTTCGTAAACGAACTGGTATAAACATTGCAACCTGCTTTTCATCCTAGATATATTTACCGTCAAACGAAGACTGCGAGATTATAGACGAGAAATGGGCAGCAAAACAACCGAATTCATTCAAGAAAAAGAAGGTCTTTTTGGGAGGTCTGGTAAAGTGGTTTTAACTGCAATCGCAATGTAAGTTTTCTCGTCTCACCTACGTTTAATGAGATTTCGTCGTTTAAATAATAAATTATTTCATTATCCAGCAATGCTTGTAATTTCTTGTGCAAACTATGCGCATGTGTCTTTACTGGTTCTCATAGTATGTTCGCGGAATGCGTGCATTCGGCTGCGGATACTTGTAATCAATTAATATTGGCATATGGAATTTATAAATCAGTACAAGTAAGTGTATGCATGAATTTGTACTACATACACGCGGTCAAGATAAAAAATGCCTGAATATTTAATTTATGTAAAATATTTCAGAATCCTAATCCAGATCATCCATATGGATACACAAACATGAAATACGTTTCGTCTTTAATATCCGGCGTTGGTATTTTCTGTGTCGGTGCTGGTTTATCAATTTATCACGGAATTCATGGCCTAATAAATCCGTCATCGGTAGAACCATTCTACTGGGCGTATTGTGTCCTAGGTGGTTCTTTAGTATCCGAGGGAGCGACGTTATTAATGGCAATTCAATCGATAAAAAAAGGAGCAGGAGAAAAGCAGCGAACATTTAAAGAATACGTATTAGGAGGACAAGATCCTTCAGTAACTGTCGTGCTGCTGGAAGATTTAGCATCTGTAAATATTCAGTAACTAACGCGAACAAATACAGTAGAGCCCACTTAAGTGCCCGCACTTTTTCCCCACTTAAGTGTCCGCGGTGATCCCCCAGCAATTCTTGGAAGCCAAGCGGCTTCGAACATCGAGAACACCTTATCTCCGTTGAATTCTGAGAAGCCGGCCCCGAGCGCGGACACTTAAGTGGGTACTACTGTATTTCGTTATAAATGTTATTTTAAAAATAATAGGTGGTCGGTATTGCTATCGCAACAGCATTCATGGGTTTAACTTCTTACACGGGAAGTTCAATGTATGATGCTGTCGGGTCCATATTTGGTGGTTTTCTTCTTGCTGCAGTAGCAGCGTTTATAATTAAGACAAATACTGCTGCTTTAATCGGAAGAAGTATATCTCAAGATGATCTTGATAAGATGAACACGGAATTAGAATCTGACATAATGGTAATATTCCCTTATTTGTATTACTATGAATATAGAAACAAAAAGTTTTCTATTAATTAACTGTCTGTCAGGTCCGAGCTATTTACGATGTTAAAGGTATCGATATGGGCAATAATTTAGTTCGATACAAGGCCGAGATAGATTTCGATGGAAAAGAATTAACGAGGTGTTACCTTGATAAAAACGATATTGTTGCAATGTTGGAGGTACAGAAGCTTTTGTGAAACCTTTATGAATCGGCACGTTATTCTGAAAATTGTTGCACTTCCAGGAAGTACGAACTATGAAAAATATCGACGAGTTGGAGACATTTTTTCTGAAACATGGTGAAGGTATCGTGGATATGGTCGGTGGGGAGATAGACAGAATGGAACTAAAATTAAAGGTATTTTGTAAAGATCCAATCGCTATTCTTTGCCATGAGGTTATATGTATAATCGCTTATCGCCTAGTGGTAATTTGTAACGTTTCTTGTATTTTAATGGTATTTATAGAAGAAACATCCAGAGATCCGACATTGCGACCTGGAGATCTTGTAAACGCTTTTGTACTGGAACACAAAAGCATACGTGGAACAAATTTTAATGTAAATAATGTGTATTAATAATCATGACGCAATTTTGCGTTGCATTAACAGCGTTATTTATATAGAGATAGTACAGGGGTCTACGTTGATGAACGGAAAAAAAAAAAAAATAAAGCGAATAAGCTCGAATCTCATGTTTCATAATTGTACAGTTGGTGAAACTCATTCGTATCGCATGAGGGAACAGTTACAAAGTCCGTCTACCCTTCTCCTTTACAATACTTTATAATGATTTACCTATCCAATAAACAGATTATTATTTATTAAGTACCTTAATATACCTTAATAAATAAAAGAATATCAACATGTGGCGCGATCTATCACGAATCCAGACCCTAACCCATGACAACAAAGCATCAAACAATTTGAAATTGATCGGATAGGCTACCTAAATGTAAACAACATGGCAGATTAGATGAATATAATATTGTACGTAAAAAATACCGCCTTATGAATCGATACTTTGACGATGCGTCATTGCAACATTTGTAGATCAAGTTAGGCGATTAGCCTTTTCTATTACTCTTAAAATACCATTATTTTAAAAGATGTCAACTGAAAAGGTAGGTTATGCGTTGACATACTTCTTATTGGAAATACTTTACGTATTTACGTTTTTATAAAATGTATAACAGAGGAATTTTCATGTTTGAAATATGTACTAAACTGTCAAATTTTTTAATGTAGGTTCTTTATCAGTTATATCAACCTCATGGTACTGGTACTGTGTTTATTACTTGGCGTCCTGGCAATAGTACTCATTTAGCAACAACCGGTTATGATTCTTCAGTCGCTATTTTTGATAGACAAGGAGATTTACAAGAACGCATTCAGATTTCTGGTTTGTGTACCGGTTTTGGATGGGATTCCGACGGCGATTTATTGGCTATCATATCACAAAATTCCTTTACCATCACGTTATGGGATGCAACAACCGGAAAAAAATCACAAATAGATGCTGGTGTAAGAGATGGCTTGACATGTATCATGTGGGCAAAGAGAAATTGCTTGTTAGCTGTTGGAACACAGAAAGGAAATTTGGTACTTTACGATCATATAAATGCTAAGTATGATATTGTACTTCTTTAGTAATTAGCATAGGATATCTTTACATATTATGATGCACGAGAATATATTGATTTTTTTATTAATAAACAGAAGAATACCAATTTTGGGAAAGCATAAAAAACGTATAACTTGCGGTGCTTGGTCTTACGAGGGTCTTCTTGCTTTGGCAAGCGAAGACAAGGTTTTAACTATTAGTACTAGCGACGGCGATACTCGACGCGAAATATCGCTACAAGGTGATCCATCTGAAATTCAGTTTAATGAAATGAAGATGGATCACAGGATCGGGGGTGAAAATACAGTATGACTCGTTTTTTTAACTATTATCAAACATACTGTTATCGCGCTTATGTATTTAAAATATTAATTTTATGCTACCTAATAGGTATCTCTAATTATTAGTAAAACCACATTGTTCCTGTATAATATTTTGGATCCAGAGAATCCTATTGAACTAGCTTTTCAAAAACGTTATGGTCCCATTATAGCTTACAAATGGTAAGGTATATTATACAAATGAATTTAAAGTAAAATAATTATTGTATTTATCAATAATTAAAATTTCTACGGAAATTTAGGTACGGCGACGGTTATATATTAGTTGGTTTTGAAACTGGACATTTCACTGCAATATCTACACATATTAAAGAAGTTGGACAAGAACTATTTCAAGTTAAGAATCATAAAGATTCTTTAACTGACTTAGCAATAAGTCAGGTCATAGGAAAAATTGCCACGTGCGGAGATACTGCTATAAAGATACATAGTCTGCAAAATTTAGAAGAAACTGAACAATTAATTACAATAAGCGGCGAAACTGGAATTAGTAAAATAGAATGGTCGATGGATGGATCGATGATAGCAGCCGTGACTTATAGTGGCAATGTTTTTGTCTATTTAATACAAATTCCGAAATTATTTAGCGTTTGTGGAAATAAAATAGCTTTACTTACTAGTTTAACAGAAGTTGCAGTACATCTTTATATGTTAGACAAGGTACAGTAGTGTACACTTAAATGACCGTACTTTTGCCCACTTAAACGAGCGCGGACACTTAAGTGGGCACTACTATTAAAGACAGACTACATGAAACTGTGTACACAAATTTAAAACTACTTCCCAGGTGAAACCAGAACCAGTAATGATTAATACTATAATAGAACCATCTGTACTAGCAGTGGGACCTATGCATGTGGCAGTGGGTTTAAATAATAGAGCACTGTTTTGGGACTTATCTGAGAATCCTTATAATACTACTGTACACTTCGAACGAGATTATTTAGCAACAATAGATAGTATACGATTGAATGAAACCTATGTCTCGGTTTTATTTGATGGAAAATTGCAGTTGCATATGGTAGCAAATTAAATTAAAAACAATCGGAAGTTTATGTCAAAATATATTAATAATTTTATTACGTGTTTATTATTATAGATTAAAGTCGATCAATCTTTAACAAAAGATGGAAAAGACACAAAAATGTTTCCAGACTTAAATGCTTCGGATTTTAGAATAACGTGCCATGCCCTTAGTACAGATTTTCTTATCTTTGCCAGCGATGTAAGTTATTTAAAATGTATACAAGTCTGAACATATAGTGAACAGACTAATCTACATTTATGGTATGTTTAGATGGGTCACATAATCTACTTTTGCCTCGAAGTTTTCAACCAGTCTATAGAACATATACACAATACGGGTATAAACGAAATCTATTTAGATGCAAATGGGACACAATTATGTTTTATAGATAATAAATCTGATGCTTATGTATATAATCCTATGCAAGAAATTGTGTTACAAATACCCGATTGCCCGGATTGCATACAGGGTATAATCTGGGATCAGAATATTTTGGAACGTAATATATTTGCTGTATACAATAAAAATGTTATTGTTACGTACATATTTGTAAAATATTTTATCGAAGGTGAGTCAAAAATGGAAGATAAAATAATTACGGTAAATATGTTAAAAATGGTTTGCAAACAGGTACAAAAGTCGTTAGGATAAACACAACAAAACTACCGTCCGAAACACTACCGTTATTAATGTATTCCGGAGAATTAACATTAAGCTCAATAAATAATAAATTTATTCAAATTACATTATCGTCGCACGAAGATATTGGAAATATTGTGGAATCTGCAAAAAAGAAAGAAGTTTTGGAGAATCAGATTTTGTGTAGAAGGTAAATACTTGAGTCTTCTATTAATTTGATGAAAATAAAACGCATATTTATTGTATTTCAGATTTCAACAAGCATGGAACACTTGTGAGAAAATTAATGAAAAAGAATCGTGGTTAAAGTTAGGGGAAAGTGCCATTGTAAACTTAAACATTGATTTCGGTGAATTGATTATTATTATACGCTATAAAAAATGTATAGACTGTATAAATATTTTATTCCCAAGTAATTATTTTTTATTATAGCCATTCGCGTCTATCGTTATATAGAAGATGCCTCGATGGTTTGGGCATTAAAAAACATGGAAAATATAGATGAGCTACCACTATTGTGTGGTCATGCATGTATCTTACTTGGCGACTATAATCAAGCAGAACAATTTTTTTTGCAATCTTCAGAACCGGTACAAGCACTGTACTTAAGAAGAGACTTGATGCAATGGGAACAAGCGCTGAACTTAGCGCAGAAACTGAAAGCCGACGAAATTCCTTACATCGCCAGAGAATATGCTCAGCAGTTGGAATTTATGTAAAAGTTTTATGCACAATGTATAAATTGCGTATGTTTGAAAAATATGAAAGATTCGATTTTGTTTCTTCAGGGGTAATTATCCAAAAGCTTTAACAAACTATGAACGTGGATTGGTAGATCATAATACTTCGTCTAACAACTCCGTACATAATCCACACCATCGTAATCTGTGTATTGCCGGAATTGCAAGAATGTCTATAAGATGCGGTGATAGTAGAAGAGGAGTGAGCTTAGCAATGGACAACGAAAGTTCGAGGCAGCTGCGAAAAGAATGTGCAGAAATATTAGAATCAATGAAGGTATGTATAATCATACATACACAATCTACACATATGATTTTACGATTTACATACTTTTACAGCAATTTAACGAAGCTGCATTATTATATGAAAAAACTGAATACTTTGACAAAGCAGCATCTGCGTACATTAAATTAAAGAATTGGCAGAAAGTTGGGCAACTTTTGCCACAAGTATCATCTTCCAAAATTAGTATACAATATGCAAAAGCCAAAGAAGCTGAAGGCAGATACGAAGAGGCAGCTAAAGCATACGAGACGGCTAAAGATTATGAAAATATAATAAGAATTAATCTGGAGTATTTGAACAATCCTGGTAATCTAATTATTGTTAAAATATTTTATATAGTACATTTAGTTCAATCACGTTTCGAGTATGTACTATATAATTGTATATTTATAGCGCGAAGTGTGGAAGTGGTACAGCAAACTAAAAGCATAGAAGGAGCCAAAATGGTTGCAAAATATTTTCAAAAAATGAACGATTATAATTCAGCGATCAAGTTTTTAATCTTATCAACGTGTCACGACGAAGCTTTTCAGTTGGCCAATCAACACGGAAAAATGGAATTGTATGGAGAAATTTTGATAAATACAGTTGACGATAGCAACGCACGGAAGGAAGACTTTAGAAGCCTCGCAATGCATTTTGAGTCTCAAAAAAATAATCTTTTGGCGGGAAAATATTATTTTCACGCTAAAGAATATCAAAAGGCATTACGACATTTATTGAAAGCTGCTCAATTAATGGCGGACGAAAATGAGGTTTTTACATTAGCTATTGATACAGTCGCTTCCTCAAAAGACGACAAACTAGCTAATCAACTAATAGATTTCCTATTGGATGGAGACGGATTACCAAAGGTAGCATTACGACCTTGTAACAATATATAACGAGGTAATAATTTTTTATTGCATATTTATACTTTCACAGGATCCAAAATATCTATTTCGACTCTATATGGCCAGAAAACAATATAGAGAAGCTGCAAAGACAGCAATCATAATTGCAAACGAGGAACAAACGAATGGTTTGTTTTTATGGTGTATTTATTTGTCATATCGTTTTCAAGAGCAGCGTGTATCGTGTAATAAATTATTTTCAGGGAATTACAGAAATGCTCACGATGTTCTGTTCAGTATGTATCAAGAATTAAAGAGAAATAAGATCAATATACCATTAGAGATGCAAAATAACTTAAGACTTTTGCATTCGTATATCCTTGTACGACTTCATGTAAAGAAAAATGATCATTTGCGTGGTGCTCGCATGTTAATTAGAGTAGCCAACAATATTTCGAAATTTCCATCACGTTAGTAAACCAAAAAAAAAAATGAAGTAGTTTGCAACAACGTGAAAAAGTAGTATGGACTTATTGCAATAAAAATATTATTTTAGATATTGTTCCAATTTTGACTTCTACTGTAATAGAATGTCAAAGAGCTGGATTAAAAAATGCAGCGTTTAATTTTGCTGCTATGTTAATGCGTCCAGAATACAGAAATCAAATTGATGCTAAGTACAGTAAAAAGATCGAGGCAATTGTGAGGAAACCACCGAAATCGAAAGATAACGAAATTGAAGATGAACCTTTAACTCCGTGTCCTTATTGCAAAAGTAAACTGCTTGAAACAGAGATCACTTGCGATAAGTGCAAAAATGCGATACCTTTTTGTATAGCTACAGTTAGTTCTCATCAATACTTCTATATTTATTATCAAATGTAATGTATTCATTTTTAAATATGGGATAACTTTTAGGGACGACATATTGTTGAAGATGATTTCACAACATGTCCCCAATGTGATTTTCCTGCCATAAGAAGTGAATTTATACGGTATATACATATATATATATAATATATGTGTGTCATTTTATATTAAATATAAGGCTATTAAATAATATATAATTTTTATCATACTTCATTATATCAGGATCGTCGAGTACGAAGGAACATGTCCAATGTGTTCGGAAAAAGTAGACGTGAACACAATTTCGTCTACTCTTAACATTCATCCTTATCTTGATTTTCAAGATGAAAAAGTATCAGGGAAAGCTTAATCATTTTTATTTATACGATTTTAAATTTGAACCGATATTTTCATTTAATTACGAGAATGTATTATACATATTCTATATGATATGGATAACCATACTTCGTTACAAATGCAAGGTATAATTATCGAATTATTCTTATGAAACGGTGCCGTCCAATATGAGTACAATGCAATTAAGTACAAGTAGTTTATTATATAGTGTCATAGAGTGTCTGAGAAAACCTGTGCACGAGTCAGACAATGCTCACGTATAGAAATATAATATGTAGTATTGTCTTAAATAAACTAGTCTCAAGTAATTATTGATTCGCTCAATTCTATCATCGCTGTCGCATCTGCATTGAACTTGGTATCGTGAAACGTGTTATTAGTTTACGGTTTACATATTTTATTATCATTCTTTTTATATTGCAATCGTTTGTCTACTAGATATGAACATTTGCACGTTATATAACTTGTAAAAATTCTTATGCGTACAATTTCGGAAAGGTAATCGAATCATAAATATCGTGAAAATGTAGTGCGAAGTAAAAGCGACACCTAACGTAGTACGCTTCACTTAAAACTCGCATATCAATTCTTGCACATACACATCATAACTGATCGCAACACGTACAGGAAGAATGACAACACGGCATGACTTTGAAAAATTGAAACAATATAATGACACATTGAATTTTACGACTTGATATTTAACCAAATCATCTAGATTTCTTTGAAAATGTAACTTATTAACAAAACTCTTTCGTGATCGTTTAATTCGCATTAATTCGAATATATTGATTTCGTTAAAATAAATTCAATCCGTGCTAGTACGAGATTGGAATCTGTAATAGTTTCACGTTTATAGCCATCGAGAACCATTCGTTCGAAAAAATAAACTGAATTAATTGATAAACAATTAACAACGTGTGTCAAACAATTTTCATATCATTTGTATTCATACCAATCTTTCATTATCAAATACGTCACTATTATCAACGTTGAGGAGTATTTATGACGTAACTGTAGATTTTATTTTAATAGCAACAATAATATTAAAGTTTGTTTAATACGTAGATATATACGACTATCGTTTCTTCCACGTACGATGTAACCGAAGAATGTCAGAGTTATCAATGTTTATAGATTACATTTTTTACTTGAAAAGTATTGCATCAAACATACAAAACAACACACTCCAGTGTAGGTAACTTATAAGGACAGAGATCAGCAACCCCGTAATTCCAAAAGTGAAATTTTGAGTTATTTTTATTGTCGGTCATACAGATCGTCCCTGCAGGGTGAAAACACCCTTTATGCGGAGATAAATAATACCTCATTTATCTATACATATCTTTAGATCTAGAGTAGATACACAAAAATGGTTGGAAGACAAATTTAATAGATTTTTTGCTTTCTAAAGAGATACTACATATTAAAAGGAGACGATTTTGACGCGTAAACTAATTAGAATATTTCATCTCGTTGGAACCTCATTATAAACGAAGATGGTGTGTTAACCTTATCAAACCACATGGTTTGTAAATAACTTTAACCGGTATGTGCATCTTGCACATCCCTATTGCACTTCGAACGATGCGTCATCTGTTATTTTATGCATTATCAATTATATCATGTAGATATAATTGTTCTCAAGAGGGAATCTTTTTAATTCAATCAAAAATTCATATTGTGTGAATAGTATCTTCTTAGAGAGCATAAAAAAGTATTGAGCTTTTATTTGAACCTTTTGTTTATCGTTACTACAGTTTTAAAAGTATACAGATAAAAAAAGAAACACCTATCTACGCGTGGAGGTGTAGTTATGACCGATAATAAAATCATAAGGTTCTCAACAAACCTACACAGTTTAAAAAAATTTGGAATTTTCGAATTGTCGAAGTTCTCTTGTTAGTGGTAGGATATGTACTGTATGTATAAGAAATAAGAACTACAATGCGAAAAGATTTAAATGTTCTAAATATTTAGTAGTTTTGACAAGAAAATAATTTGGCATTTAGTTAAAATATTACTATCTCTACGTATTGTAAATATATGCGTTTCAAACATAATTCATTGAACCGAAACGTCGAGTTTACGAATACTGTTTCTGTTGTCAAGGCAAAGCATTATATAATGAACAGTTTTAATCTATGTTTTTGAGTAATTATTTTTATAAGTATCACCTCTTTTCGATTTTATCACCGATTTTGAGGCACCCTATATAATCCCATCGTTATAAAATCTACAATACAGATGCCACTGATGCCAGTACGATGCGAGTAGTGCGAGTAGTGCGATCAGTGCCGGTAAGTCAGTAGCACGCGTTTTAAGTTTTACACAAGTTAATTCAATAATTTAATTTATTCTTTTGAAAAATTGTTTCGAGGTTCTTTTTAAACGTTTGGTAACGCGCGTCAAACGGATCTGATCGTCGGTAAACAGAAAACATTTTATTCCCTTGACACGCTCGCAAAACTGCTGGTCAAAATGGCGGAAAAGAATGACTTGCCGGGTTCAACCTCGACTACTACCGGACAAGAAAGCCAACAACTGATTTTAAGTTTCGTCGGGGAAATCGTGAAGAGCCCGATAAATCTAATTCTAGTAGCCGTGATCGCCTTGTTGGTTTACAAAATTGTTAAAAGTAAGACAAGGGCGGAGAAACCTATGGAAGAAATAAAGATATTGCCGAAACTACGACGTGACTTTACAGTGCAAGAATTGACAAAATACAACGGCACAGAACCAGACGGACGAATATTGATTGCTGTCAATGGTAGCGTTTACGATTGTACCCGTGGTGCCAGATTTTATGGACCCGGTAAGGTTTCAACCTTTTTCCTATGACGTTTTTTTTTTACGCGACCGTCGGACGTATTTTCTTCATTGCACGCACGATTATTTCATAATTACCACTACTTACATTCTCCTTGCCTCGGTCTATTCGATATCATTCTTAATTATTTCGCGCTGCCTTCCATCGAACGTCGCATATCTGAAACCCGGCAATTATGCAAAAATAAACTCGCAATCACGAGATCGTGATAATGAATTCTTAAAAGTTGTGATATAACAGCAGGTCGATAAATTTGACATTTTAATTACCGAATTTCAACTATATTTCCGCTGTGTTTCTACGTGTCAGAATTAATTTAGTAAATGTGTAAGTTCAGTTTATTGCGCGTGTATGCAATACATAATCGTGAGAAATGCTGTGTAACTGCTTCAAAGTGGATAATGTGTTTAAATAAATTAGTCAATTATGATTATATTTATCGCTTATTACGTGCTACAAATTTAATCTTACAGTTTTGTCACTACATGTTCTTTTAGCGCTTACTATTACATTATTATGGATTTTAAATTAATTTTAATTAATTTTGTTGCAGGTGGTCCATACGCAGCATTTGGTGGACGTGATGCTAGTAGATGCTTAGCAACATTTTCAATAGATGTACCAAAAGATGAGTATGATGACCTAAGTGACTTGAACACTACAGAAATGAATTCTGTGATAGAATGGGAGGAGCAATTTAAAGGTAAATAAAATATTACAATAAACATTATTCTATACATATAATAAATAGATCTATGCATATTGAATTGTAATCTACATGATTTAAAGTTACAGTTATAAGTTTTGAATGTAATCGACACTAAAGCATAGAATAATTACTAAATTATTAAACAAATTATTTTTCATTCCAGAGAAGTATGATTATGTTGGAAAATTGCTGAAACCTGGTGAAGCACCTACCAGTTATTCAGATGAAGAAGATGAAGGTAGTCAGCAAGAGACTGAATCAAAATCTGAACAACCAGAAAGTGAAACAAAGTCTGATCATCAAGCGGCTAATGCAAAAACCAAGGATGATTGACCACTTGATTGTATATCAAATGCCAAACAATTTCAAAAGAATATTGCGCACATACCATTATTAAAGAAACTTTTAAAATCATGGCTCATGGAAATATTTCTGGATATTCAACTAGATATTTTGCTACGTAATAATGATATTAAAATAAAAAGTAAAGTGGTATCTTTCGATCAAGTTAGAAGTATGTAAATGTTCAAAACTGGTATTAAATGCGAAGCCTTTTTTTAAATATGTAATTTTCCAAACAATAAGAGCATTTGTATGGTAAAAATGTTTTTATATGTGTACAAAAGATTTCTTAATGATCCTTAAAACTGGCACTAGGCTTAAGACATAACTTCTGAACTATATTCCATTATTAAAGATCTTTGTTTATAATGTCATTCATAGTTTTGCCACATAACGTTGGATACATACAATATATGTATCGATATCTATAAATTTTAATAGAATGGTGTTATATTTAAAATTAATGCAGGACACTCTGCACACTTACGGTAGTGTCCATTTCAGTGACCACGCTCGGGACCGGCTACAATCATTTATGTGGACATGGTTACTTCTCAGAGTTCAACGGAGATAAGGAAAGAGGATAAGTGCGAGTGAGATACAATAGCTGGCACCCGAAACCATATATGTATACAATGTATCGATAACGACCGGCGTCAAGTTACGCTTGACACGCTTGATGTTCGAAGCGCCTTGGCTTCCAAAAATTGGTGGGGATTACCGCGGACGCTTAAGTGGGCACTACTGTATGTGATAAAAGCATACAATAATTCTTGGCATAAAAATACTTTTTGAAAAGAACAAATAATACAATCTATTAAACAAATAAAAACTCTAATTCATACTTATGTTTTATACCTTGGGCAATTTCATCAAAAAATCATACTTACCGAAATCATTATATAAATATATGGATGAAAGTATGAAAGTACTAATTCTGAAAATGCTTCTTTAATACAAAGTTACATTGAAATTCAATTTGAAAGTTTATAGAGATAAACGTTTACACTAGTCTCGTTTACATGATTAAAAATGGTGGTATATTTTGTGATCTTATTGAAAATTTTAACATGCTCGTGTTAATTGTTATTATTTAAAAATGGGGATTTCTTGATAATTGCTAACATTTGTAATGTTAGTAAGATTAAATTCCATTTATTACTATGTGGTTATTTATCGAAATTTTTTTTAAAATTGTAGAAGGTAACGGAGCTTGCATTTATTTGGTTACTTGTAAACATGCGTTACATAACTTTAATATGCCATCATTCTTTAAGCGTTTTAATTATTTTGTGCAATTATTTCTATTTTAATAATAATTTAATTACATACGATTTTTGTGATAAATTGATATTTATAGTTCGTTTCAATTTGAACTAAGTTATTGATTCGATTTCTTCCAAAATGCGTATTTTTAAACTGTGTTGAAGAGAGTAACATTTATTAACATTTATTAATTGTTAAAAAACTGTTTTCATCGATCTGTGAGTTACTATAAAAAATAAGAACCATTTTATTGTAATTTATATGAAAATTTGCATGTAGTTTGTCAAATTTTAATACGCGTATGATTTTAACTACATGGAAATATTTTCAGTTTAGATAAGTCAAATTGATTCTGTATCATTCCTGTTAAACTGAAATATTTATAATCTATTTTATGATTATTTCAAGTAATTAATATGTCCTATTTATCTATAATGATACTTTGATGAATTTTAAAATTTCAACAAGCGATATCGTCGAAGAGAAATATGCATTTCTTTTTTACAATATCTATCATTCACTGAATCTCGTTCATTGATACAATCAACATATAACAAGAGACTGAGTTCTTTGCAAGCATTTGCATTGTCAATTCTATTCATTTTCTAATCTTGAATAATAAAATTAACAAATATTTTTTATATATTTATTACACTGAATTATATAAAAAAAAAAAAACTGCTCAGATTAAAGTTAAGATCAAATAGTTGATCAAACATAACAAATTTTACATCGTATAATTTCAAGATATTTAACATTTATATTATATGGAAAATATTACTTTATGTCAAAGCATATTGTTGCATTTCCTTTGTTAAACGAAATGATTCAAATTTTACATCATTCTGTGTTAATTATTACATATATTGGTTATAAGATTATTTTGTAAAAAGTGTTATGTATTGTTACTTCAATTGTACTTTTTGTTATTACAGAAGAGCGAGTGGACAGTTTGTAAGGTGAAGGTTTTGGGTACTCTGTTATTAGATATCATGATACCAAAAGATAATAATAATTTTTGTTCATATTAAAATGTTCCTTTCAAACAAGTCCTTTCACTCATTTGTACTTGATTTGTCCCATCCTCTTTGTAAGTATAATAAATCGTAAATATGTTGTTACAAATTATACATTGGAAAAGAAAACCAATTGAAATTTATACAAAAATCCGGAACAAAACTTTTTAAAGGGATAAAAATTTATTTACATTAATTTCTGTTTTATAACAACATTACTATGAGAGATTATCATGAAATGATACAAAAGTTCATAAATCGAAACAATGTGAATTTGTGTCCCTTCGAAATTAAGGTCCTTCGCGCAGAACGTTTACAGTATAAGAAACGAAATTTCCTTCCAAATGTCATTTATACATGCTTGAACAAAATAAAAGATTTATAATTATTGCAACTATTGAATTCTAACGAAATATATATAATGAGGCATATTCTTCTATTACCTTCAAAATAAGGTGCATGTATGTTTGCCATTTATAAAAACCATTAGTTAAAATTAACTTGGATAAGATAATCATTTTAAGTTCGCATGCTTTTTATAGACAATTGTATCATATTGGTTTCGATAAGTACGATTATATCGAAGTTACGAATGTGAACCTATGTACTTTCGAAACATGTTAAGACGGATATTGGAACAGAACTAGAGTCGTTGATATATGTATAATTGTAAATCGCTAAAACGTTTATCTCCGTTGTATAGTTATCTTTTTGGAATGAACGATGCTGAAAACAGTTTGATCATAATCACCCAACCACTCTAACTCGTGGTAATTGTCGAGTTAAAGAGTCTTACGATTTCTATCTTTTCCTGTAATTTTCGTGATACTACAATAATATCGTAGTGTTTTGAAGTGATTACAATTTAAAATTAAAATCATTTACGATTTATACTTTCGGTTCATTGCCATTATTATGTTATTAAGAATTATTGTTACTATTATGAATTAGTTAATATTGTAACCGGCGAGATAAATGGTCTTCGTACATTAAGGGAGACATGAATTATGAACAATAGCAGTTATCGTAATTTAAGGCATGACCTTGCTTCTTTAACCCATTATAATTATTTTGTTACATGAGTACGTAAGTACTCGATAAATTGGCATTAAATAACCAAGACATTTTTCATTGATTTATATGAAACAATATATACTTGAGTTTTCTTTAATGACCAATTGAAATTCAATATTTGTCTTATATCTTTGATTTTTTATTACGATTTGTAATAAAATGAATAATGAATCAAAACTAATAATTATAACAAATAATATAGAATGGAATCATATCGTATCGACAGGCGAGATTACGAAAACTGCGTTCGTTATCATGGCAGACACCAACGGTGATAACAATGACTCAAAGGCTGCGTGAAAATAGCTTGTTCGGTTTTATAATAATCGAAATGCAAAACGAATATGCGGTAATTCGTGTTTCAAACTTCGTACAAGTTTTTAAGCAGATTAATGTATTGGCCTGTGTTAGAGATCGGTCAATGCACCCTTCGTGGATATTTTTATTTCCACTCGGTCATAGAAATATACACGATCGGTGCGCAGTTTCGTTAGATACCGCAATCTTGTAGTCAACGACTATTTTCACGCGATATGAAATAATAAGAAAAAGATATTACGAGTCAGCTGTCAATCGAACAAAAATCGAACCAAATGAATCATAAGTGAACAAACTTTATTACTACTGTGTCGTTGTAACACTTTGAAACGTTTTGGTTAATCAGTAGTTACGTAACACTTGGTTAGAGATTATCAACAGATTTTCGTGATTTCTTTCCCCCTATTGTAATTTAGTTTTTTCTCTACGAGTTTATATCACTTGCACGACGAATCCTTTAATAACCGTGCTCAATTTGAAAACAAATAATACCCCTGAAAGGATGTTGACAAATCGAGAAAATATTTGGATAACCGTAAGATCAAAGATGTATCTTGTTAGCATCGAAACAAAAGATCTTGATCGAAAGATTCGAGAATGTAAATATCAAGGTATCGTGATAATTCCTATAAAGACTCATTCATAATACGTGTACGTTTTGTTAACAGCTCCTCGAATGAATCGAGATCACATTGTTGAAGAAAACAACGCGAGACAAGAGACTAGCAACAATCTACAAAGAGCCGCTGTCACTGAGATGGCTAGGTGGCTGCTGTCACGCCGTTATCCAGTTCCCGTCCCATTTCCAATACTCCCTCTTCTCTCACGTTCACGTTCACCTCTTTCTTTACACAATTCTCTGTATCTGACACTATCGTGCGCGCGCGCGCGCGCACGCATAAACGCATGACCGAGAGAAAGAATAAGTGTAGCAAAGAGCGAGAAAGAAAGGAGTAGGAAAAGGGAGATGGAAGCAAGTTCACGCACAATATATGCGTGTGACGGGTCGCGTGCCGTTCGCACCTATCCACACGAGTCAGATTCTCTTTCTCGAGGAGAGGACGTTCTGCGCAACGCATTCTCCCCACCTTGCGTGCATTCTTCCTTTTAACCTGTCGATCGAGAAATCCCTGGCCATCTTGTAACAACATCCCCTTTTGACACTCTTAAATTTGTAAATACATCGTCGAACAATACCCTTGATGTTTGTTGTTGCACGCGAAACGGTGAATACAGATCTTTGTTAAAAAAGAGAGATACATTATGTACGAACTCAACAAGTTAATTATAAATCTAACCGAGTAATGTAATAAATCTTTCATCGCGATTAAAAAGAGAAAGTGCTCATTCGTGTGACGAATAGACGTCCGCAATTTATAAACTTTAGTTAGCGAAATAGTACGGAAGCATACCAAGAGAGTAAAGTGATTACAGTCTGCCTTAAATAATATCAAACGTAAGCCATTTTGGTAACATTATTTCGTTTACCTGCGATCATTAACATCTTTAATAAATTTTTATTACTATACGGTAACATAGTGTAATGGACTAATGGATTAATTCTAAGGGGCATTAAATTTAAGCAAAAGTACTAATTTTTAATTTACCACGAATTTATTTATCAAACGTGATTTTGTATATAAAATTCCTTAAATGTAATTAATATTAATAATAATAATAAAACTGTCAAAAATACTTTATATAATTTTTATAATTTTTATACTATTTCAATAGGATTACATAATAATGGCGGACATCTTAACGATCATATTTGATATATATAATTTTATAATACAATGTAAATAAATTATAAAAAATTTGACTTTTATAATAATGTTACCATAATTTGCTTTTCCTTTTGTCAAACGACTTCTAATGCTTCTGTAAAAACTATTAAGAGCTCTATAAGTATAATACATAAACGTAAAGTAAAGATTTATAAGATGTGTATAGAATAAGATGTTATATAAAAATCCATTTTTGAAATGGAAAGAGATAGATCGCGTGAATCACTATTCCAGTATTTTACGTTATAAGAAACAAATAAAACTAGGATATTTAGCGTATTTCGCAGGTTATGAAAATCACCATTGTAGACAGTATCGTGACTGGTTATTATAAAAATATCTCGTAGATAATTCAAGTCGTTAAACTTTGATGTAAAAGTGTTGTGAAACTAATAATAACGAGTCCGATTTAAAAAGCGTCATACAACCACCGTGCGAGACCGGGCATCATCAAATGGCGGCAGAGGAATAAACGAAATTCTCGTAGCTGTTGGACCGGCGGCGTGAACGTAATCACGGCGTTCGTGGCCTCGCAGCAATTCGACCAATCACGGTTAAACGGTAGGTCACGTGAACGGTCGAACCAATCAGGCGGCCGGTCTAACGTCACGGTAACCATACGGAGCCAGTCGGACATTTTCTGACAAGCGTAGAAAAACTTCTCGTCAACAGCAGCCGCCATTTTACGTTAGCCGATACTCGTGCAGTGCGGAACTCTCGCGATCGCTTTTCTCGAGCGAATTTCTGTGGCGCGCGGTGGCCGCCCCGGAGCCGATTCATTTCATCGTCCTCGCCTCCTGGCGTCTGTGATTGCCTCGAATGTGCGGGGAAAGCGAGCCGCGTCCGCAGTGATCGTTCGCGCGCCCCGTGTCGCAGTGTGCCAAGGCGAGAGAAGAGGAGAGGAAGATGGTGCCAGCGGGCCTTGAGAGCGATATCGTTGCTGCGAGATAGCGCCGTGCGCGCAGCCAGTCCGCCACACTCGAGTGTTTGACGAGAGTCGTGTGCGACCGACTACTAAACGAATTAAACGCGAGGACCACCTTGTTCAGTAGTGTGTGCATTTAATATCACCGTAGTGATCCTCGCGATTAGTAATACTCGATAGTCCTGGTAACTTCTCGGTCTGTCCCGTGCCTCGCGCGAGTGGTCCGTGCGCCTGTCGACAAAATTTACTGTGTGTGCGTGTGTGGGCTTTAGCGCGGGGTTCGACGTACCCCCCGACGATGCCCAATGGTTGATCGTGTAACGAAGCGTGCTCGGGGACGCTCTATGCGCCGCGGTTCTCATTGTTATTGTCATGCCTGCGAATACGCTAAAAGCTTGGTGAATTTTCACGGCTTCAACGACGAGGAGGAAGAAGTAGCAACAGTGACCAGCATCAGCAACAGCGGTCTTCTATTGGCGTAGTGCAGCGTTTCGCTCGCCAGTGTGTGTTACCCGTGTATACGTGCGTGCTGCCTGTCTGCCTGCTGCCTGCCTGCCTGCCTGCGTGCGTGCGTGCGTGCGGTCGACTCGACGACTCGCTGCCGCCGCCGCCGCCGCTGCCGCTGCTTACTTCCTACCGAGAGTAAACAGCCTGAAAGAAGAAATAATTAACCCTGAAAAGAAACCATGGCCGACCACCTGGTGGACGGCCCGCCGAACAAGCGGCCGAAGCTTGGAGATCCTTTTCAAGGGACTTCGGACTCCGCGGGTAAGTTTTCACGTTTAATTCTTCTGTTAAGAAACTGGTGAATTAGTCCAAGTCGCATCGCGCGACTAACCTTTCAGGGATAAATTAGTCGCACGAAGTGACACATAAGCGTTCTTCTGGTTATATGCGATGTTGCTGCACGCATCTTTCTCGTTTCATTGAGAAATATATGTCCGTCGATTAGATTTCGAAGGTATACTGTCAGTCTGTTGATGGATTCAACCTTTGAGCAAAATTACCTACCTAATTCTCGTCGATGCTTCGAGTTTTTACTTTTAAACTCGTCATTGTATTTTGTTTCTATAGATGTGATGATTGTCCTTCGTGCGAACGATGATATTTTCAGATTCTATTCTCTTTTCCACAGTTACTTTGTATTACTTGATATCTCGCAAGAAAGCGTTGTGGTTGTAGATGATTGTTTAATTTTATGTTACGAGTGTCACTCTTTGACAGGCTCCTGTACTCGGACTATTTCGAGACCGTCAAAAGTTAGCTTTTCTTACTTTATTGATGTTTGTAACGATCGAAATCATTCATGGTTGTTAGTTAACTGTTTGTAAACTAACCTAAACTGTTCAAGAAATGCCGTCGTGAAAAGTACACTATACATATTACGAATTGTGCATCGTGTTTCTACCGGTACAATAATTCGTCCGAAGTCGTTTTTTAATATTTTTTTACATTTATCAAATCTGTAGTAAAGTTTATTTTACAAAAACAAAAAATTACGTGTGAGAATCATTGGTACCGCGTTATGACAGTGTTATCATTGATGTAAGTGAATGATAGAAATTTATGGACATAGTTAATTACAGATTTAGTGTTAATCAATTACAGTTTGAATATTAATTATATTTTCTTGCTCTATAATTCTGAAGGAATGCACACATCGAAGTTGTTTTATGTTCAATGACAAGTACATTTGCATATTGTGTATAAATTTTGCTCAGAGGTTACAGGAATACTCCATGTTTCGAACATAATTATTTGTATCTAAACAATCTACAACTTCTGTCTTGTTGCACATTCTTTCTCTCGTTTCAGTTTAATGCTAAGAAATAATAGTATGTTGTAAGTTTTTTTTTTTTTAGTTGTCTTTTAGACTTAGTTCTTATTTTACTTTTGTAGTGCATGGCAGATGCATGTAAATTTAAATAATGATTAAAAAGATAATTTGCTGGCATAATTAAATACCTTAACCATCTCCTTATTCTTATTTTCTTTAAATGCTATCTTATCACCTTAACAGTTTCTGAACTCAATAATATTTCATATAATCCCGTATTGAATTAAGAACGGCCGTGTCACTTAAATATTTGATGTATAAATTGCAAAATTTAGTCAGGTTTACGCGAAGTAAGTAGCAGACATAGTCTTTGTTACTTGCGATTCTATTGCTATTAGTTCAGTTATAAGTATTGGAATTATTTTCAACAAAAATTTAGGCTGTTTCTGCTGCTTAAAAGCTGCAATCCAGAGCATAGGCAATTTTCCACAGTCTGAAATATAAACTGTGATATATGTAGTGGGTATGGCGCCTCTAATGATGCACCATACTTATACAACCTATGGGGGAGGTGGCAGTGGTAACATGCAACAAATGCAGGGCCCGCCACAACAGCTACATCTGCCACAGCATCAGCTGCAGCCACATTGGAACAACCATACCGTCCAGAAAAGAAGTAAATATTATTACAAAACCCAGCAAAAAGTTCAAAAATATTAAGTCCAGCACTACAGAATTTGTTTGTCTGTCCATTCATCTCATTTATTAATACCATAAAATTATAAACTCATTCGATTACTTCCAGTTTATGTCATGATTTACCAGTTAGAAATTTCATAAATTTTTGTATTCAAAAAAAAAAAGTGTGTATAGTTTTAGCATATTGTCACTATGGTTCGATAAAGTTAGTTTATTATTATTATTTAAAAAAGTTTAAATAAAAGAGAGGATTACATTGATTGATTACCTGTGTAATAGAGCATAATTACGAATTTATATAGCAGATATGCTTAATACTACAGTCAGATTGATTTCTTTTATAAGATACTGGAGAAAAATTGGATCACTCTTTATAATATAGGAGAAGTTACATGTATAAAGGGATATTTTGGTTTGACACACGATATAGAAATTTAAATACATATGCTGTCAGTTTTAAATGCATTTAGAGATAATGAATGTAATATGGACATGCGACACACATGCACAGAGCTCTAAATTTTTACACTAGGAGGGAAATATGTCGAATAATATATATATATATGATATATATTACCAAGAATAAAATAAAAAGCATTCATATTTATTGAGCTAAAGTTATACTAGGTTCCTAGGTGGGTAAATGTGGTCTTTTATATTGATACATTTTTACACTATACAGGTAATTGGTACCAAAATTTAAATAAAACAATAAAATGACTTACATTACTTTGTACGAGTTTCAGAAACTTTATTTTGCTTTTTTTTTTTCAATGTTACAGCATTAAAGATTATTCCATTTGCAAACAATTGTAAATACTCTTTAGAGTGACTATGATTTCTTCGCATGACTGTCTACTCTAAAGTTTGCCATCAGTAGCTTTGCTGCTTTTGTAGTTCAGCACGGCGTTATTGCGAATAAATTTTTACTCCACTGTAGTATGATCTCCTTTAAGTTATGCTCATGCAGTGTATGTCTCATGTCTTATTTATATATGTATTTGTTTGTTTATATTTACATGTAGTTTGTTGTAGTATCTTTTCATTATTTTAATTTCTTTCTTTTTTATTTTTTTATTTATTTTTTTATTTATTTTTTTTTTTTTTTTTGTATATTTGCATTTGACCCGTTTTTTCTCCGTTGATGTATGGTCAATCACGGATAATCAAGTAAGTTAAAAGATACATTCGCGCAACAAATATATATTTCAATACTCTAGGTTAATCTAATTTGAATAAATACAAGTTATCTGTAATTTAAAACATGATATGTATATAAGTGTTACAAAGTGTGTGCATGTGTGCATATACGTGCATGTATACTTACATGCAGGTATATTATACAACACACATCAAATGTTACACGGTAGTACGAAGATCCTACTATTGAAACATTGGATAAAAGCTATGGTGACGGTGCTGAATCTTATCTTTATAATGTTACTAATGGTTTTTTGGTTTCTATGGTACATGTTACATCTAATATCATAATCTGATCTCAATTTTTCAAACTGGTTATCTAGAAAAGTAATTTTTCTTTCTTTGTAATATCAAACCTGCTTATAAGTTCCATAATTTGACAAGAGTTTAATTTAACATTGTAACATGCTTACTATCAAAGTATTCCTATGATTATTATACATTTCAAAATTTTACTTTTGTAGTAACCAGTATTTTTTTTACAGCACTGCGGATATTAGCAAGCTATTACTAATGTAAATGTCTATTCTCAGATTACATAACAAACACAGATATGTTTGATCTTGAAAATGATCTACCCGACGATCTATTATCATCGGGGTCTTGGGGTTCCGCAACCGAGAGTGCTAAACCGCCAGCAACAGGCCCAGGTCCAGGGCAGCAAAATGGTGCCCTTGACTCGGAACTTCGACAGCATGTACAGCAACAACAACAACAACTTTCGCATCATCTAATACAACAACAAGTTCGTAGTAAAAAATGTTATATGTATATGTATATATATTTTATGGAGACAATCATATTTCGTGTCATTTGACCTTAGTGTCTTTTGAAACAGGGTAACAAGAATTTGGTTGCTAACTCTTTGGTAATGGCTGCCGGAACCTTGGGGAACAAAAGTCCAAACATGCAATCTCCGCCGAATGTTTCTGTCTCTAAAGTAGTTGATCCACAAATGGTTGTGAGTCTGGGAAATTTACCAAGTAGCATAGCCAGCTCTTTGGCAAACAATCAAATGTCTATTGCAAATTCTATGGGAGGCCTTCAATCGTCGATGAGCATGGCAGGAAGTAATCCTACCATGTCAATGTCAGGTGGAATGAATTCTGGCCTAGTTATGACCAGCACAGCTAGTGGAAATAATAATATGGGTGGAATGGCAGGTGGAAGTTTAATTGTGACCAACAGTTTAAATAAACAGTCTTTAAATACTGTAAGTTTTATTCATACGTGTGTCCTGTATAAAAATATGAAATATTCAATCTGGGATTTTGGTATTCCAGGTAACCATGATGAGCTCTAATACTCAAGGAATTCATCATCCTAGCGGCCCGCATAGCGTTGCTCAAATGCAGAACGGGCCTGGAATAATGAACACCAGAGCTGTAGCAATGCAACAACAACAAGCACATATGGTTAGTGCCGCAGCAAGAGGTCAAAGTCCGCATCAACAAGTACATCAAGTTGGTATCGGTCCTGGGCAAGGAGGGCCGCGAATGCAGGCTCCTCCGAACATGGCAAATATGCCAAATATGGGACAAATCGGTGCATCCAGTCCCTATAGTTACGGTAATAATATTAACTGTACATGCTACTAACTCATTTTAAAACCACGTTAAAAAAAATATCTAATTCTCGGACAGCATCTCCAGGTAGTGGACCAGGACCTGGTGTTACCGTGTGTACTAATAGTCCTGTTGGAGTTGTCGCGCCGCAACAAAAAGGAGTAGGGACAAACATGACTGCCATGCAAGCTGGTAGATTTGGAACTACAGGACCCATCGGTTCTGCTACTGTCGTGGGTGGTCCGGAAGGTGGTATGGCGCAACAAGCTCAACCTCCTGCTCCAAGTCCAGCTCAATCTCAATCCGGTGCACCAACAGGAGGGCAATCTGGTCCACAACAAGCTACTCAGGGCCAAATATCTGGTACCGGTGCTCCAGCTGGTAAATATTAATTTTTATGTTTTGATAAAACCGCTATGAAAAATGAATTCGGTTGTATAAGATTTTTGTATTGCCAGGTGCTACAAAATCCACCGCCGATCCGGAAAAACGTAAACTTATTCAACAACAATTAGTTCTTTTGCTTCATGCGCATAAGTGTCAACGTCGGGAAAGCCAAGCTAACGGCGACGTTTGGCAATGTACATTGCCAGATTGTAAAACAATGAAGAACGTGTTGAATCATATGACTGCTTGTCAAGCAGGGAAAAATTGTACAGTGCCACACTGTAGTTCATCGAGACAAATTATTAGTCATTGGAAACATTGTAACCGCAACGACTGTCCTGTGTGCTTACCCTTGAAACAAGCTAATAAGAATAAAACTACAAACGCTGCTGCGGCATCTACGTCGCAACCAAATAGTCAACCAAATCCGAGTGCAACAGAGATGAGAAGAGCATATGATGCTTTGGGTATTCAATGCCCTACGACAACGCCTGGTTTAGGGCCTGGTCAGTGTGTTACTAGAAGAATACCAGCACCAGGTATGCAAGGAGCAACCGGGACAATGGGAAACGTCAGGCTAGCTCAACCTCAAACTCAAGCTGCTTCGGGTCAATCTGTGGTTGGTGCCGGGCAGCAAGTAGTTGCACCAAATGTATCTCTTCCTTTAAGTTCTGATTCTAATACTGTCGGTGTAGCTGGTAATCAGGCCGCGTCCACTAGCGGAGTTACGCCCGCTGCGGCAGCGGCTGCTGTAAATATACAGCAATCGGTTAACGTGCATCAATTGTTTGGTTTAAACGATTCAGGGCAGCTGAACGTTGCGGCTGAAAATAGGCTAGCTAGCCCTCAACTTCCGGTTGGGGCTCAGCAAAGTCAAGTAACAGCAACGCCGATGCCAGGAACGAAGGAGTGGCATCAATCCGTAACTCCAGATCTTAGAAATCATCTTGTTCATAAATTGGTTCAAGCAATATTTCCAACTCCCGATCCAAATGCCATGCTTGATAAAAGGATGCATAATTTGGTTGCGTACGCGAGAAAAGTCGAGGGTGATATGTACGAGATGGCTAATTCCAGATCAGAGTATTACCACTTACTTGCTGAAAAGATATATAAGATTCAAAAAGAATTGGAGGAAAAGCGTCAGAAGCGGAAAGAACAGCAACAGTTACAGGCGCAACAGCAACAGCAACAACCTCAACCTGGTTCGTCCGGAACAGCTGGTCCGGGTTTGAGGCCGTGTGCTCCACCTGGTGTCGGGACTGTTCCGCCATCGCGACCAGTTGGAACGGTTACTCCTAGTTTGCGTAGCCATTCACCGGGCATGGCTCAACTTGGAACTTTACCTACGATGGGCATTCCGCACAATAGAATGCAATTTTCTCAACAACAAGCCCAACAACAGCAACAACAGGTGCAGGGTCAGGCCCAAACCAAAGTCCAGGTTCAGCAACAAATGCAACAGCAGCAGCAGCAGCAACAACAACAGCAGCAGCAGCAGCAGCAACAAGGAATTTTAGTTGGTCCACCGGGTCCTAGTCCAAACGGACAAACATCTTCTAACCCTAACGTCGTTCCAAATCCTGGTCTCAGCCCTTTCGGACAGCCACAAATGTCACAAGCAAATTTAACAACTACTACCACATCCGCAACAACTAGTCAATTTCCAACCTCGAATGGCACTTCCGGTTTACCTAACAGTTCTCCTGTACAAAGTCAACATCAATTTCCCGACCTAATGAAAGTTAGAATGGCACAAGCTCAAGCAGCAATCGCGCATAAACATCAACAACAACAGCAGCAGCAGCAGCAGCAGCAACAGCAACAGCAGCAGCAGCAGCAGCCACCACAACCACAGCAACAGCAAAATCAGTCACAGCCACAACAACCGACAAGCACTTCTAATCAAAGCTCCACGGCAACATCAATGCCTCAAGCACCATCACCGTTCAACAATATGCAGCAACAAAGTAATCAACAACAAAATCAGCAATTCAACAACAATCGGCCTCTACCATCCGTTTCAACGTCCAATGATAGCGGTATCAGCACGTCAACGCCTCAAACTATACCACCTCCTGCGTCTAGCGGGCCTAGTCCCGGTCCGGTGACAACAAACGGACCTCAATCTACAACTTCCACACCTAATACACCGCTAGTTCCTTCGTTGATGACTCCAAATCAAACAGTTTCTTCCGCCAACCAAACACCACCTCATCCTGGCACCACACCATCCCCCGCCGGTCTCGCAAGCCTTGGAAAAGGGATGACGTCTCAGGAGAGGGCTGCATTAAATGCGCCGAGAGCTTCGTCTATGTCTTCGCAAATGGCCGCCATTACGGCTGCTCTGGATCGTGATAATTCTCCTAGTCCACCGATGAATAACAATAAAGGGAAACTGGATTCTATCAAAGAGGAGAGTATGAAAATGGAAATCAAACAAGAGGATGGTTCCGAGAATCATAGAATGGATGGTGGTAAAAGTGTGAACAACGACATGTCTATTAAAACTGAAATCAAAACGGAAGCAATGGAAGAAGGATCTGGGGAGGGTATCGCGAAGGAAGAATCTTCCGGTATCAAGGAGGAGCCAGTGACGCCGATGTCCAGTCAGGACACGACGCCGGACATCAAACCATTAGTTCCTGAGCCGATACAGTCGAGCGGAACATCGACGGACAAGAAACGGTTGTGTCTGTTTAAACCCGACGAGTTGCGTCAAGCACTGATGCCAACGTTGGAAAAACTGTACCGTCAGGATCCGGATTCTATACCGTTTAGACAACCGGTCGATCCCCAAGCATTAGGGATCCCAGACTACTTTGACATTGTTAAAAAACCGATGGATCTTTCGACGATCAAAAGAAAATTGGATACGGGACAGTACAGTGATCCATGGGAATATGTCGACGATGTGTGGATGATGTTTGACAACGCGTGGCTTTACAACCGTAAAACCTCGCGTGTTTACAGATACTGCACAAAGGTAACGTTGATCTTTGGAGTTTCCAATTTACTGTGCAGTTTTAATGTCTTGTGCAACGAAGTCACGAATATTTCTCTTGGTTTTAGCTTTCGGAAGTTTTCGAACAAGAGATAGATCCTGTAATGCAGGCTCTAGGATATTGTTGCGGAAGGAAATACACGTTCAATCCGCAAGTTTTGTGCTGTTACGGGAAACAGCTCTGTACGATACCGAGAGACGCGAAGTACTACTCCTATCAGAATAGGTCAGTATATTAACGAATCTTAGACGAATAATTATGTGTAACGAGAGGATTTACTCATTAACCGACAAAGAAATAGTCTGCATGATGGGAACACATTAGAAGGTTTTATTTTATCTTCATTTTGTCCTTTAGCAACTTCTCTATCTAGACAATTAGATATCTCCGTTAATGATTTCTCTTGCCCCCGGTTCTCCGCAAAGAATATCGACGTTAGATATATTCCATTCAATTTGAGAAAGTCAAATTGTCCAATAGGCGGCGTATTCGACTATACTATAGTGCATTTTTGTGAAAGGGAAATGTTCTACGACCGAGTACGCTAAATTAAATTGGCAGGCTAATTAACCTGTTTCGGTGATATCAGTCGTTACAGGCCAGTCCCCTGACCTACACGTTTCTTTCTTTATTACGTATATATATATATATATATATATATATATATATTTTGTAATTACAGTATGTTTACCGATGTGAAGATCGCACACATGAAATTAAAATTTTATTACGCATATACTTAAGGGATATATAGTTTCGTGCATAGTAATGTTTAGGAGCCAAATGTTTTTACCAAATATATTTTCTACTGTGGATAGTTTAGAAGAGATACGGTTGTAACCCTTGGGTATATGTAATTAAGTAATTTATGTATATAATATATTGTGTCTAACAATGGCACTCTTCTCTTCTTTGTATGTTACCTTCGCTCTACCCATGGGTTGCGCACGCACACACAAAATCCTTGTTTGCTGCTTGCTTCTTGTGTTGCCCGCGCCCCTTGCTTCTTTCCGACTCTACTACTTCATGCCACGAAAATTGATACTTGGAAATTGGACGATCGAAATTGGATACCTGGCGTAATAATAAACCTAAAACAAATTGTATCTACAATAAATGACAAAAAATATGACGACTCTCTACAATTTTTGGAATACAAAATGAAACGGATCCAAACATATATATAAATAAATAAATAAATAAATAAATATGTGTATATATATATACATACATACATGTACATATATATGTATGTATATATATAAAATTGGATATTCGACATTTGGAAACATCTGTTGGGGCGTGGAAATAAAATATTGATCTCCGTATGATGCACGCATGACATTGACCAATTGAAATTTGGATCTAAATACTATTGGAACGAATAGTCTAAAGGCATATGGTCTTGTTTCCGACAGATACACCTTCTGTCAGAAATGTTTCAACGACATTCCTGGTGACACTGTGACGTTAGGAGACGATCCAACGCAACCTCAGACGTAAGTTTCGAAACGATAGAAATCTCTCATTAAACTATCCTCCATCGACTACATCGAATACGAAATATCCTTTTTTATTGCAGTGCCATTAAAAAGGAACAGTTCCAGGAAATGAAGAACGATCATTTGGAATTGGAGCCTTTTGTTGTGTGTACAGATTGCGGTAGGAAAGTGCATCAAATCTGCGTGCTTCACATGGAATCAATCTGGCCGCTAGGGTAAGTAATAATATTTCTCACCGCTAGGGGAAGTAAAAATATCACATTAAATACTGATTTGTTATTGTTTCTCCAGGTTTACTTGTGATAATTGTTTAAAAAAGAAAGGACAGAAACGCAAGGAGAATAAATTTAATGCTAAACGTTTACCAGTTACAAAATTGGGCACCTATATCGAAACGAGAGTAAACAACTTCTTGAAGAAGAAGGAAGCTGGTGCTGGTGAAGTGGCGATTAGAGTCGTGGCGTCGAGCGATAAAGTGGTCGAGGTGAAGCCTGGAATGAGAAGTAGATTTGTAGAAAACGGTGATATGCCTGGGGAATTTCCGTACAGAGCGAAAGCACTGTTTGCATTTGAAGAGGTTGACGGCACCGATGTGTGTTTTTTCGGCATGCATGTGCAAGAGTATGGCAGTGAATGTACACCACCTAACACCAGAAGAGTCTATATCGCGTACTTGGATTCCGTACACTTTTTCCGGCCTAGACAGTTCCGAACAGCAGTCTATCATGAAATACTTCTTGGATACTTGGATTACGCGAAGCAACTCGGGTAAGCTCGAAGTGATCCACCATGTATGTTTCACGAGGTAATTATCGATGTTGAAAAACATTTATCTGGAACATTTGGTTTTATAGTTACACCATGGCTCATATCTGGGCTTGTCCACCTTCTGAAGGAGATGATTATATTTTTCACTGCCACCCCCAAGAACAAAAGATTCCAAAGCCTAAGAGATTACAGGAATGGTACAAGAAAATGTTAGATAAAGGCATGGTCGAGAGGATCGTACTTGATTACAAAGTTAGTATCATAAAATATTAATTTAATATAATAAATACAGTCTCAAGTGTTACCTAAGATTTGACTGTTAATCTCGGGTGTCAGAGAAGACTAAAAGTAATGTCTCAGAAAGCTAATGTTCTTATTGAATTTGTAAATTTGAACATAGGATCGGTAGACAACAATTGAGAAGAAAATTTATCGAATAGTAAAGTAAATGTGTATTGTTTATTAATTCTAGGATATTTTGAAACAAGCAATGGAAGACAAATTGTCGTCAGCTGCCGATTTACCGTATTTTGAAGGTGATTTTTGGCCGAATGTTTTAGAAGAAAGTATCAAGGAATTAGATCAAGAGGAGGAAGAGAAACGTAAACAAGCTGAAGCTGCCGAAGCCGCCGCCGCCAATGCGGTATGTAGATTTATTAATAAATTATTTAAGATGAAAAATACAATTTCCAATGTCGTGAAGATACTGATCATAGCATATATTATATTACGTTTCAGATTTTCTCGTTGTCGGAAGATTCCGAAACTGGTCCGGATGGAAAAAAGAAGGGACAGAAGAAGGCTAAAAAGTCTAACAAATCCAAAGCGAATCAAAGAAAAAACAGTAAAAAATCTAATACTCCTCAAACAGGAAATGACCTCTCGGCGAAAATTTTTGCGACCATGGAGAAACATAAGGAAGTGTTTTTCGTTATCAGGTTGCATAGTGCTCAAAGTGCAGCCAGTTTAGCAGTAAGTGTACAGAACTTTCTTTTTTTTATTTACTATTTACAGCAGTGCCCATTTAAGTGACCATGGCCAGTCTCGAGCGCGGACACTTACGTGGGCACTACTGTATTTTATGCACGAAATAATATCGTCGAATACTTGCATTCAACGACAATGTTATTTCAGCCCATTCAGGATCCTGATCCAGTTATCAATTGTGACCTTATGGATGGTCGTGATGCTTTCCTTACAATGGCTAGAGAAAGACATTACGAATTCTCTTCTTTAAGACGTGCGAAATTTAGTTCTATGTCCATGTTGTACGAGTTGCACAACCAAGGCCAAGATAAATTTGTCTATACTTGTAATAACTGTAAGAGTCATGTAGAAACAAGATATCACTGTACGGTTTGTGATGTGAGTATCAAAGTAACTATTTTTATGAATATATTTCGTTTCTTCTATCAATGGATTTAATGGTGTCGTTTATCCGAACAGGACTTTGACCTGTGTATAAGTTGTAAAGAGAAAGATGGTCATCCTCATCATATGGAGAAACTTGGTTTAGATTTAGATGATGGTTCATCGCCGGCCGATGCAAAGCAAGCAAATCCACAGGTAAAATATTTTTAATTATTAGATTAGGTTTGGGTTAGGTTCCACAACAAGTGTTCCATTAGCAGCATCTTATCGAACGTATGCAATGAGTGTTTTTTTCTGTATTTTTCAATAGGAGGCTCGTAAACTGTCGATACAAAGATGTATTCAATCGTTGGTACACGCGTGCCAGTGCAGAGATGCTAACTGTCGCCTACCCAGTTGTCAGAAGATGAAGAGAGTAGTGACGCATACTAAGGTTTGCAAACGAAAGACGAATGGTGGCTGTCCAATATGTAAACAATTGATAGCGCTATGCTGTTACCACGCTAAACACTGCCAGGAGACTAAATGTCTAGTCCCGTTCTGCTCGAACATCAAACACAAGTTGAAGCAACAACAGCTTCAACAACGGTTACAGCAAGCGCAATTGTTGAGGTAAGAAGATGGATAATAACGCTAGGAAAATTAAACCGGATGAAATATCTAAGATAAGATTTTCAACCGATGTGTTATTTTTTCATTGCAGAAGAAGAATGGCTGTGATGAATACCCGACCAACAACGGGTCCTGTAGGAGCAATGCAAACTGGACAGCAAACCTCGAATGTTACTATGCCAACTGGTGTTGCTATGAAACCAGGAGTTAGCCCCACTAATTTACCTTCGCCGCATCAACCTGGAATAGGGCTGAAACCTGGCACGCAAACACCACCTGCGCATGTTCTCCAGGTTGTTAAACAGGTACAGGAAGAAGCTGCAAGACAACAGGCGCCGCACGTAGGTTATGGCAAAGTAACGCCAGGGGGTGGTGTCGGTGTTGGAGTTGGCGTGGGAGGACAAACAGGTGGAGTGATGCCTCCACCGCAAATGCAACGGCCGATGCCCGTCCAAATGGCGAATCCCAGTGGTACTCATCTCATTCCAATGGACCAGTGGACGCCAAGGTATTATTTCGTTTGGAAAAATGAAAATACGTCGAAAGAGTTTGACGAATGTGCATACGTGTTAGAACCAATGTTTTCATGTGTAGCAGGTATCAAACGAGCGCGGTGATGCAACAGAATCCTGGTTTAAGGCAACAGACTCCGCAGCAATTAATGCAGCAGCAACAGCAACACCAGGGACAACCGGGAATGGGAATGGGAGGACAAATGCCGAGACAACCAGGCGTTATCGGTGGTCCGGTTAGTCAGGTTGGGCCGCAGGCTCAAAATAACATGCACAAGCATGTACTGCAGCAACTTATGCAGACTCTTAAGAATCCCCATACTCCCGAGCAACAAAACCAAATACTTCAAATACTCAAAAGTAATCCACCGATAATGGCCGCTTTCATCAAGCAACGGGTATGATGATGACGATTATCACATGTACATTTTATTGTACTGTTATTTACTGTTCTCACTCTCGGTTTTGACGATTTCTATTATCATATGATTTTTTAAATAAAAAGGCGCTTGCCCTTCAGCAACAAAGTGGTCAGTACGGCGGTGGAGTTGGGGGACCTTTGGGTCCTAATCAGCCGCAACAACAACCTGGTTTGCAGCATATGATGTCTCAACAGCAGCAGCAGCAGCAGCAACAACAACACCAGCAGCAGCAGCAGCAACAGCAGCAACAACACCAGCAGCAGCAGCAGCAGCAGCAAGGTAGAATGCAGATACAAGCGATGCTGAATCAACAGCAGCAGCAGCAGCAGCAGCAACAACAGCAGCAGCAGCAGCAGCAGCCTGTTCAGCAGCAACCGCAGTGGTACAAACAGCAAATGCTGGTGATGCAGCAGAGACAGCAGCAGCAGGCTCAACAACAACAGCAGCAGCAACAACAACAACAGCAGCAACCGTTCACACAACCACCGGCGCCTCCTTACGGTCAACAGCGACCAATAAGGCCGTCCCTTCTCGGTAAGAGTCATTTGATTCCCGACAAAATGAGATTCGTCGAGCCGCTTGGTTCGTGGTCTAACGTTTGCCACGATTCCGCGTATTCTTCCTCAGGTTACAGTGGCTTTAGTGAACAAGGCTACGGTCAACCCGGTTTAAAACCAACTCCACCTCCGATACCTTCTCCGCAAGGTGTGATGGGACCTCCAGGGATCTCTGTACAGCAACAGCTCATGCAGTCCGTTCGATCTCCGCCACCTATTCGATCTCCTCAACCAAATCCTTCTCCGCGACCGGTTCCATCCCCGCGTAATCAACCAGTTCCTTCGCCTAGATCAGGGCCGGTACCATCACCTCATCATCATCCACCTCACGGTACGCCGACGCATTCGCCGGCTCACGAACTCGGCGGTCCAAGCGAAATGATGCTCTCACAGTTGAACGGCGGCACGGGCACGCCGACAGGTCATCCGGGGACCATGCCTCATCACCCATCCCCGGCTCCGCCGCCTACTAGTGGCACAGACTCCAGTGAAGTGACGCCTATGACGCCACAAGACCAACTCTCGAAATTTGTCGAAGGATTGTAGTGACTGTTAGTGAAGTCGGTCGATACGAGTGACTACGTTAATGGACGGGCGACGATGGTCTCGCATCGTGCGTCAACCGTTTAAAAGGACGGTCCGCTGTTCCAGCTCTCTGTCATGAGGCAGAGAGCGTAACCTCCATCCGTTCTGCGTTCCTAGCTTCGTGGAGATCAGGTACAACTACTTACGTCCGGTACACCGGCACGTGGAGGTGCCGCTGATGTCGAACCACGACGATGAGTTAAGATGTACCCGACGATGGTGCGATCAAATTAATCCGGACGACGCGTGTTCCATATTTCTATCTCCGAGTTAAGGTGCAGGAGCGATACAGCGTGATGTGGTGCTGTTTTAGAAATGCTCCGCGAAAAAAAAGATAACTACAGCTGGCTCAATGGACACTTTGAACTTCTTACGTTAACTCTGTACAGTCGTTACCTCAACCTCGGCTCCTTTTCCGATCGAGGATCGGCGGAACGACGCGAGAAAATTATTCGAAACTACACAGTAAATCAAGAGAGAGACTATTAATACGCCCCCGACCCTAAAGAAAGAAAAAAAAAATAATAAAAACACGCGCATACGCATGACAGACAGACAAACACACACATCATGACCCCTAACCCTTTACCATTCGCCCCCCTACCCTCCCCTCCTTTCACACACACGATCTTTTTCATCTTTACCACCTTCCCTCCGCTGCTGCTCGTGCAGGCTGAGTGAAATCGTACAAATGTGTTGTGTATACTTAACGTTAATTAATAATTAATAGTTCAAATACTATTAGCGTAGCGATTATATGCAGTTATTATATACCACTATTATTATTATCGTGACGAGATGCAAAGTATATAACAAAATGAAAAAAATAAGGACTGTGTATGAAATGGGAAGATATAAAAGAACGAAAGAGTACCGACGACATTGTATGTAAGGAAGGGAGAACAGAAAATTTAGTGGAAAAGTTAAGTAATGTTAACTTAGGATAATTTGTTATTAAGAAATCGCTATGGCTGCCCGAAGGTTGTACCTTAGCAGCATTAAATTTTATGGATCATTCTGAAATTAATCCTCGGATAATATGCTGGATACGAGTCGTCCTCATGAGAGGGAGAGAGAGAAAGAGCGAGAGAGCGAGAGAGAGAGAGAGAGAAAAAAAACACATATGAGGACGATTCTCTTCTCTTGATAGGACAGGCGAGACAACGCGGATTAACGGTGTCGCAACCAAAAAGTAGAAATTCACGACAAGCTGCTATTTGCTAGTACGGGAGGATTTATATGAATCGTGTTAATTTTTTGAAAGGCAAAAAGTAGCTTTTCATTCACGGGGGTCCGATATGTACAGTTCAATCAAAATGTAGCTACGAAGCGTAACCGAAACTGGACCTCCGTATGAAAAGCGTTCTGTACATACTATACTATTATTACGATAATAATAACGATTATTATTAATTTCCCTGTCTCTTATGAATTTATTATTATTATTATTATTATTATTATTATTATTACTACTGATTATTATTAATTATCATTATTATTATCATTATTACTATTATTATTATTATTGCAAGAGATCGAAAACGTATAGAGGTATAGTGTAATGTTCGGGAAAACAAAAAGCGAAAAAGAGTTCCACACGCACACACGTATACGCGCGCGCGTTATGAATGGGCTACACCCGTCGTGCACGAAAGAGAGAGAGAGAAAGAGAGATAACAACAACAACAAACAAACAAACAAAAACAGATACACGTAACACGTAAATTACCGACACTACGTGACTATGCCAGTGCTGTATCATAGTAAATTGTAAGTGTCATTTTTCATCCCACTGTTCTCTTCGATACCTATTTAAATGATTAGTTGATAAAAAAAACGGATGATGATGACGATGTGTGCAAGGTATGGTTCGTGAGTCCGTATCGTCGTGAATTTTCTTTGAAATATACACGGTGTACAATGTAGCCCATTATGTAATTAATACCGTAGCCGATTTAGTCGTAACGAAGATGAATTTTTACACTCGAGATGCGAATATATCGGTGTAAAATAGTCCTCGCGCGTAAAAACAATTCGACGTTTACCCGTCGACGAGAGAGAACTCTGTAAGAGAACATGAAAAAACGAACCGAAAGAAATTATCCGCTCGGAAGGAAAAGAAAACTTTACCGTGATGTATTTAGTACGTTGAACACACTTATGACTGGATATACAACATATACACGCGACATCGTACACCGTAACACGTGCTACACGTGTGCTTAACTGTTATTATTATTATCATCATTATTGTTGTTATACGTTGGTACATCGATGCCCTTCGAATTCGTTCAAAGAACAAAAGTAAACTTTATTCACGCAGGGAAGGGAAATTTTAACGTAAAGATGAACATATACGATCGCCGATGTGTTACGTAGAATCGATTCTCAGTATAGTTCCCCCCCCCCACGGAAATACGTAACTTTACGTCAAGTATTATTAATATCAAAGTCAGTAATTGCGTTTTTCTAAGTTTGTTTTTTAATCGTATTTGCGGCATGGACCATCTATCGAAAATCATCGACATCAAAACATTCCTTTTTTTGTACATTCATTCTTCTCCGCTCCCCGGTCTTTGCATCTTCATTTTCTTCCCCGGTTCGCGTAGATTCGAGTTTCCAAAGATGGAAAAAGGAGAATTTAAGAATCGAACGGTTTAATCTGATCGATCTATAGATCTAAACGAATGGAATGGAGTCGTAGGTGCATCTCGTGTACACGCGCAATTTTTTAACAGCGTTAGAACAAAAAGAAAAGCGAGGATCGACCGGGAAACTCTTTAAAGTGTCACAAACGACGAAGCACGGACGGTAATTGAGACTATAGATTTAAATAAACGATTTTACCTAACGGAAGGAGAGTTAATCGTAAACGACAAAAACCCAAAAGTATTTGGCTTAGTATGGCTGTGTTTAGGGCAGTGTTGTAAATCTGAAAGTGGTATACCTTTTTTTTGTGGTAGTAAACTCTTTAAGCGCGGACGTTCGAACGCTGTCGGCGGTGCCACTCCCGACGATCGCGATCTATCATCTATTTTATCCATTGATTCTATTAAATTAATTAATATTATTAAAAAGAGGAATGATCGCGATGAAAGTTCGTTCGCGAACGAACGGATCGCGGATGCTTCGCTAAGTGAAAAAGGATTTCTCTATCTTGAACGTGTTCGTGGAACAAATTGCGAGTGTAAAAATGGTTCTTAAACGCATTTGAACATAGGGAGAGAGAGAGAGAGAGTGACTGAGTGAATGTGTGTGTGTGTGTGTGTGTGTGTGAGAGAGAGAGAGAGAGAGAGAGAGAGAGAAGGGAAAGATCTTGCAGCGTTCGGAAGTTCGCGGATTGTTTCCGAATAAATACAAAAAGAAAGGCAACGGCGAAGCGGAAGCAATTTATTGTAACGAGAAGCGAATGATACAACGCTATATATAAATATATATTATACGATTTTGTTTTCTTTTTTATATTAACGGAACACAATATAGGTCGCGGTTATATCATGAGATGAAGATAAACAATAATTAATTAATTATCCAATAGACGATAATCACAGGCAAAATTATGAAACATAATAATAACGATTATTATTATTACGCTATTATTATTATTGAAATACCAACTATAGAGTACTACTTTTTCTTATGACATTTCGTAAATAGTAAATTGACGACGATGATGATGATGATGATGATGATGATGATGATGATGATGATTGTCTAATTAAACGACTAACGAGACGCAAATGTAACATTTATCCCCCCCTCCCCCCCAGGTGGAAAAAAGATAGAAATGAAAAACACACCATTTTCGATACCAGTCCCCTGTTTTTCTTCTCCCGGGAAAGAATCGAATAGTGATGGATGGAAACGTTCAAAGTTTTTTCCCATTTTCTCTCGATCCAGTCTGAAATTCCTGATCCAACACTGCATCGGTCACGATAAATATTGTACAATACTTCGACGACGCGCGTTCCTTTATTTATTTTCTACCGGTGGGATTCTCATCGTTCTCGCTAAACGAGACGTATTATACACACATACGCATGTATACACACACACACACACACACACACACACATACAAACACGCGCGCGCGCGCGAATGGAGAAAAGGACACATTATCAGTCACTCGCCATTCAGATTATATACCTTTTTGTAATATGTCCTGCTGTAAAGACCGCTCGCAGAGTGACTTAGGAAAAACTTTAGTTGCTATTTCTTTTCTTTCGCCTCGTTGTTTTTCCTCTATTTCTTTTATAAAACGGCGTTTTTTTGTAACATAAGTTCGGTTTGTAAAAGCGCGAAAGTTAGCCTCGCGGCCCGCTCGGAGAGGGAAAAGTGAATTTAGGTTTTTTGCTACAGTTTTATACTCTTGGACGTGAACAAAAGAAAAGAAAAAAGAAAAAAAAAAAGACTTCGTTTTTCCTCTTTGACGATTTGTAAACGTAGATAAGGACACCTGTATGTTGATGTTCAATGAATATTTAACCCGACTATTGTTACATTATTATTAAAAAAGAAGTTTTAAAAATACATTCCAATTTTTATTTTTTTTCTCAGTTCTGATATTCTCTACATGTTGTGTACATACGTGTATCGAAATACCAAAATCCTCAAAGAAAGATGTATCTCTTATCGATAATATTTATATAATCACGAAGACGAGAGTATTGAGAAGCGAAAGAACGAATTATTTTTATCTTATCTTCCGGGGACATAGCAGAGCGATCTCTTGTTATCCGTGTACATCGACAGCACACTTTCTCATTTTTTTTTTTTTTTTTGTCATCGCGCGTGTACTCTATAATAAACGATTCAAATTTATAGCGTGTGAAAAACTAAAGTTTTTCTGTTAACTCTGTTGTATACAGTGGCGCCTCGCTTGCTTACTCATGCACCCGTGAATTTCCGATTCGAAGATCGTTTCCACTTTTTGTAATTTTATTTCTAACGTTTTAGTTTCTTGCCGTAGAAAATGGTCTCTTTCCCCTGTTTTACGCATATTTTACACGAATATTTGTATATGAACGTCGACGATCATTTTCCTTTTTTTTTTTCTTATCCGGACGAGAAGAGCATTGGAATCGAACCGATTTATCAGTAAGATCCAGCATTTGAACGCGAGCGTGTATGTACCATTGTCTCGGACCGTCGACAAAATGTATAAATTCACGATTAACGAGGACTTGGTGTCCGAATGCGAGACAGTCGATCTGTTTCAATGATCTTCGTTCATATTTTAGTACCTGTTCTCGTTCACTCTTATACGAGCTTGTTCAACCTACCCCCCCGACGACAAAAAGAAAAAAGAAACTCTTTGCGTTACGCGATGGTCAAAAAATCTTGGTTCAAGTACTTTCCAGGTGCTTGTTGCCTCGATACGCCATCCTCGTCGAAACAGTGACCCAAAAAAAAAACAAAAAAAACGAGTCGGGACTAAAATATGCAACGAACGTAGCCGCGTCTCGTTTCCGTTTTCGTCCCTCTATTTATTCCGGTTGTGTCACCGTGCCCCCCTTTCCTTAGGCGTAAGAAAACTAATCCCTTATCCGATTGCAGCTTGTAATGTAACAACGTAAACGAATAACCGACACGTAAGAGTTATACATATATGTGTATATATTTATACATACCGTACCATTAACGCAACACGAGAAATCTAACGAAATAAAGTTTACGTATGAACATTTGAATTATCTGGACGTTGTTACCTTGTACGATCTTGGACAACCTCGTTTACAAAACTGTAGCCGATGTTTCGCGCTCAGAAACTATTCCCAAAACTAAAAATGTCGTTCCCTCGATCAACCATCCTCTTGTAAAGCATTTTATTTATTTAATGGTCCCCCGTCGTCGTGTGCTGGAAACAAACGCTAGCGAGGATTCGTCAGTTTAAAAAAAAAAATCGCGTGATCGCTAAAATTTATTACCGTGAGATCTCCGTGAATTTTCCTGCTGGATTCCCGTTTCTTTTCCCCCGTGGAAATGTCCGAAAGAGACTGACACGTTTTATCTTTATTTTTCGTAGCGACGAATCCTCGCACGGACGAGATATATCGGACGGGATGACAAGGAGGAAGTTCAGAGTCCCCCCGTCTCACTTACACGCACGTTTATATGAAACATTTATACATGCATACGTATATTCTATATATACATATTGTACACGCGTGTACCAGACAATGTACCAACACTATTATTATCGTGACGCCAGGACCACGGTGAATTAAAGCTCAATGTATAGATAATGTATAGATTATTGTAGTAAACGCCGAGCTGTGAAAAGAGGGAAATTTTCCAAGTGGTGAGAAAGGCGCGCTTGTTACTTGGGAAACTGCGCTTGCACCGATCAAGCGCGACGAGGAATGTTTCAAGTACGTTAAGCAGAACAATATTCGTCCAATGGAGTAAATAACGGGTTCCCGATGAAAGAAGGCTTGGTGGTTTTCTAATGCGAAAATAAGTCGAAAATGTATAGCAAAAAGAAATTGATTCCGTTGATTACACGCGTGCCACACCGACCATTTACATTTTCGACTTACTTTCGATTGCGAGTCATCTATTCTTCGACTGTACCAAAAAATTACGGGACTCCCTGTTGTATATCGATGCAAAATTGTAACTAACGATTATAAGATCCCACGCGTTCACGCGAACCTTTTCATTTTATACGCGCGCTCTAGTAAGAATTGTAATCGTCCTGTAAAGTACATATATCGCGGCTCCTTTTGTACTGTGTCGATGCGACATCGATAGTGATACATTCCATTTTGAACGCCTTCGCATTGTTTACGTAAAATGGACCTTGATTTCCACGGGATCGTGTCCGCCCCGTGACCCGCAAGATTCGTTTTCATCTTTGTACCGACCCCTATTACGCGTTTCATTTCAGCGATTGGTTTGCGACACCGATATTACCCCCGTAACGGAATTGTATAGAAAACATATACAAACAAAAATATTTAATAAACGATTTATTGGTCATTCAAGTTTTCGTGTGTCTGCGAAATCACTGGTACAAACTCGCATCGTAAAAAATCGCGTCGCTTATCGTGAACGGGAGGCTAGGTTTAAATATCGATTGGCGTCTACCGCGTTAAGCATTGGAATTGCAAATTAACCGCCGTACGTCTCGACACGCGTATTTTTTGTCGTCTCGCCAAGATTGCAATTGAAATTGATAAAACGAGAATGTACTGCGTGCCCGTAACCGTCGACGCGAATATGTTTGATCAATACGGAAACATGCACGCTTTGTCTTGCTTGCCCATACTTTTCAACCTCTTAACGCTCTCTAATTATTCGGTTAATTCTGGTTTAATCAGGCGTTTGAAAGTATAACCCTATAAAAGAGAAAAGTAAACGTTACGCGGTCAACTCAACGTTCAGGTTGTTCTTTCAAGATTCGGTATGCGATTGCTGTTCGAAATGCAATGTCTCGAATATCGAAGACTGCGTAATCTGGACACTATCAGTAGTAATTTGCGAAAAAACAATAGCTCATGATTTGCCTTGAAACAGTTACGATCACACGAATCGCTCGATAATCTCCAAAGCCGTGTTATGTTATATTCGTTGACATTATTTTTTGTACAAAAACTACACTTAACATCGGTCTCGATACTCGCTCAGGAATTTCTTTGTTCGCGTTAAACTGGAATACTTTCGATTCGTACACGCCGTTGCTCTCCGTTCGCTCAGATCGCGAGAGAACGGATGCGTCATTGAGTTCGCTTTTGATCGAAAGAATTCAGACAGAATATTCTAATAAAAGCGACAAGTTTAATTATGAGCAATGATTTAGGTTTTGATAGGGACAGTGGTGCGTCATTAGGCGATTATCGGTGGACACAGATCGAGAGAATCGTGTGTCATCCGTGATGTTTGACATGGCTTGGCACGCGTTGTCAAGATGGTGGTGGTAATGGAGGCACGACGACGATAATCGGACCTTTACGTATCATCGTCTCGCATCGGTGTTCCTCTTTAATTCTTCCCTAGCTCTTCAGAGAGTGTTTGGCTTTGATCATGCACGTTAATGGTAGGATGCCGTTGGCGATGTGTTAGTTGTGTGCATCATCGTGAAGAGATTACTAGACGGTCGGTATATCTGTGAGATTGCTGGTGCGCCGTCCAAAAATAGACAAATGAACGACGAGCGTGCCATCCTTGTCGGTGGTTCCACGCACTTCGTAACAATGCACGATTATTAAAAGGTTCGTGATCAAAACCAGATAGGAAATGGAGGTACTAAAAACCAGCCAGGAGATAGTGCACGAAGGGTGGCTCATTAAATCACCACCCACGAAACGTTGGCGAGCGGTTAGTATTTTGCAGAATCATGACAAACACGGAATTCTTTTCTCTCGTGAACTTTTCATTGTTTACGTTCTTGAACGCTTGTCAAAACCACCGTGGCCAGATCCCTTTCGATCAACTACGTATTCTAACCTCAAACTATCGGAATGCTTCTATTGACTTGTTCTCTAGCGAGTAAATCGTACGACTCTTAATTCGTTCGCTACGTTTGTTTAATTACAGCGATGGAGGAAAAGGTGGTTTGCTCTTCGACATAGTGGAGAGTTACCTGGACAATACTTTTTAGAGTATTATACGGACAGACCTTGTAGAAAATTGAAAGGTCGTATCGATCTTGATCAATGCGAACAGGTAGGTTTCTAATTTGTAAAATTCATTGGGTCTCGATGATTCGTAATCTAAAATCTATCTATGTCTGTTCGCAGGTAGATGCAGGACTAAGATTTGAGAATCGAAAGCAGAAGTATCAGTACATGTTCAATGTTAAAACACCCAAAAGGACATATTATTTAGTAGCAGAAAGTGAAGCAGATATGAACAAATGGGTGGATGCGGTTTGTCAAGTGTGCGGTTTGAAAGCATACACGCAAGACGAAGAGCAGCAGTGTCAAAGTATATACCGTTGTTATTTAATTTATTTAAGATCTAATACATTTTCAGTTTCATCTGAAATTACTCTCTTACAGTGTTCCAGTTTGAAACACAAGAATCCCCACCAGTTTCGCCTATTAGCACTATTTCTGGTCCTTATATTCCTATTAGCGAATGCATTTCTGGACGTCGCTTAAACGACACCAGTTCTCTTAATTCGGCTCTTGGTCAAGGACCTGAACATTACGATGCCCCCAGACGATTGGCTCCTTCTCCTCCAAGATCCCCGACGACCACTGACGCGGAAAGTGTCTTCACCGACGACGAGTGGACAGCTCCTGTGCCTAGCGTTAACTGGGAAACGTTTCCTTCCTCGGGTAATTATTTATTACTAATGTTTGTTCTGTTTCATGCAAATACGTAACTTGAATCGTTCACGGTAGGTGAAACCAAACAGCCGCAAGGCTCGAACGACGCCGAAATTGGTTCCTGGAGCGTGAGAAAACGATTTGGAAAGTTGAGGATCGTTGATTCCGCTGTACCGCCTTCCGTAGAGAAGTTACCAGCACCTCCTAGGCCACCAAAACCTCCGCACATGTTACCTGAAAATCCTGGTCATAATTATTTAAATTTAGACGGTGCTACCGAAAGCTCAAAACCTACCACTCCAGCCACCCCCGCACCATCGACACCTGCTACTGTAACCGTGACGGATGAATCCTATGATTTTCCGAGATCTCACCAACCGGGACAAGCACTCGATACAACTCCGATCGATCAATCGTCTAAACATTTTTACTCAAACGCCGCCCCTAGTACCGTCGAAGAAACGCGTGTGTTTCGATACGATTTTCAAGAAGACGAACCGTCGAGTCCACGTTCCGAAAGTTCAACAACTGCTACGTATTCGAATTTACCCAGTCCGCTTGTTCGGGATAACTCGACTTCTGTACCAACGACAATGGCACCTCCACCACCAGTTGTTTACCGAGAATTAAAACCGGGGAGAAAAACTAGCGACTCTACGTCAATTATTAGTAACGAACCTTCGCCCGGACCAATAGCACCAGTCGTAGAAATGAGTTCTGCGGAACATTCGCCTGCCGAACCGCCGAGTATTAATAGAAAGCTCAAACCACCATTAAATAAATCACCGGTGGAAGGCACAGGTATTCACATCATCGTTTCTGCGTTAAATCCAAATTTGAACGGGATAGTTTAAAGAAGAATTCGATAATGTTCCAGGACCTCTACAACTAGCTTCTCCGCCTGGAAGAGGAAGAATCAGAGCAGCCCCTAGTCCAACGCCCCCGTCACATGTACACTCAAATCGGAACCAGTCAACATCGGACGAAGATAACAATGCTTTCGATGACAAAGAAGAGGTTCGTAAGAATATATGAATTTTATAACGACGATATTATTTTATTTTCTTACAATTTTTTTCCAGATATACTACTACCAGGATCAAAATACGTTCATTCCCGCTTCGAATCGGCGTCTCGTTGTTTTGCAATATTTAGATCTTGATTTAGAGGCGACAGAAAGTTTTACCTCTTCAAGCTTGCCTCCAACTCAGTCTCCACCAAACACGACGGTATACAAAACAGTGGATTTCTTAAAAACCGAAGCATTTAATCGTACACGGCAACGAGTCGAGGAGGAGAGGAAACAATGCACGGACGAACTTGCTTAGCGTGAGCTTTTGTTTTTCTTTTAAATTTTGTTGACGAAATTCTTGAATGCATCAAAGAGAAAAGGGCGGGAGATTCGCGAACATTTTTAAGCTGTGTATAGTATTGTTACTATTTTACTAGCACTCTATGACATTACGAAACTGCGATACTTACGCAGCACTTGGCGACTCTTCCGATGCTTTTTTTTTAAATCGTTATGTTTGTTATTAAGTCGAAGATGATTTCGAATCTTCGTTATCAATGATATACGACTAGTTGGAAACCGAAGAGATAGCAATATTCAATGGACCAAAAATGTAATGTTAAAGTTAAGGGAAAACGATTAAGAGGCGATAAAAAGAACGCGATTTTGCGGGACTTGATGTATCACAATTTGTTAAAGAATTTTTAATTAGAAGAGTAAGTATTATTACACTTAGGTACGGTCACTGTTTTTATATAGGTTTTACATACATTTAATACAAGAAAGAGGCATTTTTATTATCGACCATGCAACGAATTAAACGTGTATGGTATTGCTGAAATTTTTTAGATATCCTAATTTTAACTATTAAACAAATAACATGTAATATATTTTCGATGTGCCTGAATTTAATGTTTATTTTCTTTTTTTTTTATTTGCTGAGGTGATGAGTTGTTTGTTAGTGTGTATCATGGACGGACAATGGAGTATCATATTTATGGATGTAGATACGGTAGATGTACAATTATTTCGCAACTAATTCTTCGCAAAAATAACGTCGCGCAAATTTCCGTCTACATTGGTTTTAATAGTTTTAAACGAAAACCGTCGATATAATTATTTATATCTTACGCTATTTAATTTTGTTGTTATCTATATTCTCTTTTCTCTCGTGACGTTATAGGACAGGCTTTTAAAATGTATAATTTATATTTAACTATTGACAGTGTGTTCACTGTACCTGCCGACACGAGTTGACAACGTATGGTAATCAGAGATCATGGCCATAAAATCACAATAAACGAAAGACATACGCATATTTTTTAATAACCATTTACGTCTGTTGGCCTTAGATATAAGGTCGTCGAGCAATATGTAGTGAGACAGTCTGCTTTTCGCATCAGCAAATTTAATAAATCGATGGCTCTGTTCGTTATGTTCCACGAGCTCTTCCCCGATCGCTCCTTTATCAAATGTCAGCTTTTCATCTTCGCCTACCCTCTTTGGCTCATTTCTTGGCCCGCACGTAAAATACGTTTCACCATTTTCACTATTTCCTGCATGAATTTCTTGTGTTGCAACCTAATTTTACTAAAGATCCAGGATCTACATCTAGTCTCTTGAAATCCAACTTGCTACAATCCACCTAAAAACCCTTAGATGTGACTAATTCCTCGAATGACATTTCATCTTTAGCTCAATTGTTTTCTAATCTATCCTCCTCATGAGTCTGTATATTGTCCCCTTTTAATGAATCAATCTCATATGTTGTGTTCTGTAGGATGGGACAACAGACCTGGTCTATAACCTCGCTAATACATAAAATTCTTCACTACTACAATATCACTATCTATGTTAGTTAGTTCAGGATCTATTATTAGCATCTGTAACTCTACTGTTGTTATGGTTTAGTCTATCCCAGAGTGCTTCTATTACACTTCCCTGTCTCATTACAGGTGTTCCATTAATGGTTCGTTCCCTTTGTAAGTTTTATGTCTACTAGGTATAAGGATTTTTTTAATAACCATTACAATACAGAATCACATGCCATAGCTAGATGTGTATACATAAATACGCACTAGAAAGTACATGAAAATATATTTTAGGTATAAAAAAAATGTATACATATACAACAATACATATATGTATACAGTTTTATTTTTATAATGGCTGTATTGTAATTTCCTCTCCATAAAGGAAATTTGTACATTGTTGGAAAATTATTTGCCTTATTATCTGCGCGAGATAAAATAATTACTTGATCGATAATATTTTTAATTGCCGGGGTTTCAAGGTAGCCTTTATTAAACGTAATTTTAGTCTCTTATAAGTACTGTGTGATCGTAGAAGAAATCGTAACTCAATAATGCACACTGGTACGGAATCTCGAGAAGCTAGTCCGAAATAAAATGTGTTTTCAAATTTTTATGCAACATCGCTGTTTGGTCGATTTCTTCACGCGCATTTCCACTCTGTCCTTCGTGTATGCGTTTCTGTTCGCGCGGAAAGGATGTTTGGTGTACCGATTAGATTCACAGCTAATTTTGTTTGCCCCGATTCCGTATCATCTACGCTTTAAATTGAGACCAAAGTACTAGCGGTAGTAACTCTTTAATCAGGGACTCTGTTCCACTGTGCAACGTGAGACATTTGGTTTTCCAAATTATATTTATGCGTTAATGTATTTTATTCGTAGTGATGCATGGTACGATATGCATGACTCGTATAAAGAAAGCAACGTACAAACACGGCATCAACATATTTATATTTCTGCAAAGATTTGTATATTATTCGGAATAAGTTTGAATAATTTTTTTGATCGTTAACGATTAACGAAATTACATCTGCTTTTGCTTGATCTTTCACGATACATTGATGTTACGTTCGAATAAACATCGTGCAAATTCGTGTTTTCTAAACGGCAGATCACAAAGATCTGCAAATATTTGATCGAGAAATGTGAAATAAGAGTTTTCGAAAGTAAGAAAGAAGCACCTGTCTTTATTCACCATTACCATAGAGATAAAAAATAAATAACTGTTTATTCGTTACTCGTTGCATAGAAATAAAAATGTCTTGGAACGAACGAAGAAAAATTTAATTGTTCGATCGAATAAATGTTACGAATAAATAGTTATATTTGTGTTGGTCTTATTGGTTATCTATTAATCGAATAAAATAAATAAGAATGTCGAACGATGCGACACACGGCGTCGAAAAGCATTTACAAGTTTTGAGCGTGATTATCTTTGGTCGATATAGCGTGCTGTTTTACCGACAAGGTTGTTAGAACGTTCATGCAAATGCTGCCAGGTTATTGGCCTGCGTGACGGTTGGTGGTGGGATCGACGGAAAACAGAGCCTCATTCGCTCGCTAACCGTCGAGCGGGCGTTAGTTATTTTTGTTCGTGTTCGTCGATTTACATTGTTTTCTTTCGTCGTGAAACTGAATTGCATCGCGTAAAGAGCCATCCCGCGTCGCGTTAAAGAATACACGAGGTGCTTCCTTCTTCTATATTATGTGTTGAACCTGTGAACCATTTGTATCTTTGTGTTTTACTCTGTCGACTGTTTAACTGAAAAAAGTGTGCTCGTCTTTGTGCAGTTATCCTGTTTCGTTAAGGGACAGGAATTCGAACGGACGAACTGGACAACGTCGAAAACAATTGCAGCGGCATTTCCAGTCTCGCTTTCAAGGTAAGCACGTTACACGAAACGTATGTCGAAAATTCGAGTTACACGTGATGATCGATCCGCAGCCACTTGTTAGCCGATGAGATACACATGAAACGACGATGACTAGATTCGAACGTTGACGTAATTTTACGAGCATTTTCTATACTCGAATAATGTGACTCGACGTTTGGTTCCGTTAGCTCGCAAGTCCGTTTACATAAGAAACGATCTTTCGAAACGTTGGCTCGCGACATGTGTAGCGTACCTGTTACGCACTACTCCCGTACGAATTTAATATATCCGTACAGTTTTCTCGTTTACGTTGCTTACGTAAAGCTAGGTTTCCTCGTTTCGTCGAGAAACGAAATTTATCCGATAGTCGTGTGCATGGGAACGTCGCCGTAGCCACTTGTGGATTTTCCAACTATTTAGCCAACTGAATCAACGTACGTAAATGGTTATTCGCGTTACCGTTCCTGACCCCTCTCGGCGTTGCAGCGTGACATTCGTTACAAATATCCGAATTAATGTCAGTCGATTCCGTGTTTCGCGCTCGATATTCCTCGAACACTTCGAACGTGTTTCTAGCGTCACGTCCGTTCGTGTGACGGTTCGTTGCCATTTTATGGGGGCAGCGGGAGTATCGTTTCTTTCTCTGTCGCGAACTGTCAACCAACTATTTTCACCCGAGTCGGCTTCTTTCTCAAGATAGTTCCAGCGGGTTTCGTCAGTCAAACAATGTTTATGGTTTCCCTTGTACATGCAACGCCAGCTCGTTATGCATCCACATTGTTGTTGCGTTATTGGCGGTTATTGCGAAGCGCGCCGTGGCAAGTGAGAAATTCTCATGCACAATAACGATCATTATCGGTAACGTTCTTCGGGCAAGCGTAATATATACGACGCCGTGCATTCTTTCGCGAGCTTTCGTAATACCGCCATGATGGAAAAATTGAACTTCGATCGCCGCGGAAACAGAACCAAATGCAGGTTAAAACTTGTTTACATCCTTATTACCCGCGTAATCAAGTTGTTGAATATCTTAGTTTCCAATCGACTCTCGTATTTACTTTCCTTCCTTCTGAACGTACCAACTTGGATCAGCGAAACGTCCATTTTGTTTACAACTGTTGCTATTTACGATTCAACATTATCGATACTGAATTGGAAACGTACACGATTTACAACAATTGCTATTTACGGTGGATAAAGTCGAATTTTTGCAAATAATTAGATAATGGACCATGAGATATGTATTTAATTTGTAATTTTATGTCTACAGATATAAAACCAGCAGAATTTAGACGAAAGCCTCCCGTAGAATCAGATTTTATTCTTTGATGTTCGCAAAAATCGATCGAGCTTTGTTTCGAAAGCAAACATTTCGAGAACCAGATCAAAGATTCGTTTTTAGTTATCGATGCAGGCACCCGGGGCGCTCTTTGATCTCGATCGAGTGAAACGAGAGAACGAATTTGGACGCCACGGTGAAGAAATCTCTGAAAATAGATAGCCGCTCCTTTGAATTCCACATTAGCAGTTCGAACGAAAAAGCGACTTTATTCGATATTGGTTTCTCGGTACACAATATCGGAGGATCTTTTTGTCCGAGAAATACAAGGTTCAGCATTTTCTTTATTCTACTATAGAATATACCGTCGACACATTATTCCGCGTTCTATTCAGTATGGAAGCCGAGTTCATTTGGACTTTGCCACAAAGAACTGTCCCGAATTTCCTGTGAGCTATTATTCCCAATCCTTTTGGAATTTAATTAAAAATCTACAAATCCCTCGAATACTCAGCAACTGTATTCGATGCTAAACATAACAACTTGCAACTTTGTTTTGATATACATATTCTTACTTTTTTATAAATCGTTTTAGTATAAACGTAAAATCAAACTTAATTGATTCATCCATACTACGTTGTGAACATAGTAGGAATTTTCTATATTATTTTCCTAATATGTATGGCTAACTAATATAATGGCTCGAGTTTCCGTACGTATAGATCTTGATTGTCATTAAAATCTAGGCGGGACAGTCCTGACACGACCACGCGGGCGTAAGAGTATCCAAAACGGTCATAAACACTAGACTCGAACTTCTTTACGAGATTTTCTTTTTCCTGGTCACTGCTCGAAAGAGAGAGACACGGGAAGACCACCTGACGCGCAGTTCCGTACGAGACCCCCCCCCTGGAATCGGTGCGGAGCTTTTCTTTGCTTTTCCGGCGCATTCCAGCCTTTGTGCCGCGTTTTCTTAGGACCGGTTTACGCGCGTCTTACGGAGCTGCAGGTACATCGACCCGTAAAAACCACCACCCACGCTACGAGCGGGATTTATCTCCGGCATTCTCCCTCGTAACGTTCTCGAAAGAGGGATTTCTTAATTTCCATTCACGCCTAAGCGAACTCGAACACGAACACGAACACGAACACGAACCCTCTGCGGACTTTAGAAGCACGAATGCAAGGGAAATAACCAGGGATCCCCAATTCACAAGTATCTTTAATGATTTTCGTATAGATAGAGAGAGTAGATCTTTGTACGTTTCTTAGACTTTAGGAACCTTCTTTGCAAACTGTTTCGATTAAGTTGTTCGATGATTTTGAATGTACGGTTTACTCGAAACGAGCAGGATTTCACGAGGGCGTCGATGTGGTATCTGGGCTTTGGTTCCTGACATTTTAAAGTCTCTTTCACTCTCTTTGTAGATCCGAGGCGCCTGTAGGGCGCGCCTAAACCAGGTCGACCCGCGATATAACTCTTCTCTCGGTTTCCTGTCTAACGCAATAAACCGCACGCGTGTTGTGTGTGTTCGCGTATGGAATAGTGTCAGGGCACGGGACACGTATGCCGGAAAGAGGGAGAAACGAACGAAAACACCGCTTTCGTTTCACCGAGCACGGGGAATCTGCGCGTGATTCCTGCCCGTGCGACGTAATTATTCGGGAACAAAATCACGCGGAAGGATGGTAATTGTTGCTCGAGGGAGAGAACTTGGCCCTTCGTTTTTAACGATTTTTCGACGACGCCAGGGTAGAATAGCAGGTCACAATGCGCGTTGGTTCTCTTTCGAAGATTCTAGTGGCCAAAATAAGACGAAAATCAAGAATATCAACTTCTTGATCGAGGCTTCGTTAGAAAGTTATTAAAAAATTTCTAATCATTCTGGAAAAATTATTTTCGCTTTCTGGGGTCATTTATAATCACTTTTGGTGAATAGACATACCCCTGAATTCCTACGCATTTTCGAGAAAAAAATTCGAGAAGGTGCTGATAATTTGGGCAAAATTAAACAATTTCAAATCGTTCTAAAAAAATTATTTTCAGTCTCAGGGGTCGACTACAATCACTTTTGGTGAATAGACATACCCCCGAAATCCTACGCACTTTCGAGAAAAAAATTCGAGTAGGTGCCCTTTTCCGGCGAAATTGATAAGTTTGAAATCGTTCTAAAAAAATTATTTTCGTTTGCGGGGGTCAATTACAATTACTTTTGGTGAATAGACATATCCCCGAAATCCTACGCATTTTCGAGAAAAAAATTCCAGTAGGTGTTGACATTTTTGGGCAAAATTAAACAATTTCAAATCGTTCTAAAAAAATTATTATCAGTTGTAGGGGTCAATTACAATCACTTTTGGTGAATACACATACCCCCGAAATCCTACGCACTTTCGAGAAAAAAAATTCGAGTAGTTGTCTAAATTTCTTGACGAAAAAAAAATTTCAAATCGTTCTAAAAAAATTATTTTCGTTTGCGGGGGTCAATTACAATCACTTTTGGTGAATAGACATATCCCCGAATTTCTACGCGCTTTCGAGAAAAAAATTCTTTGCCGAAAATGTTTTTACAGCTTTTTAACGAAGCCTCAATCAACAAATTAGTATTCTTGATTTTCGTCTTATTTAGTCCTCTAGAATCTCCCATTAAAATTTTTCACGGGAATGGCCTGACACATCCTGTGTAATCTGCCATGCTAGTAGAGGGCGGGATATTTCATATCTGTTCGATAAAACCGTCGATTTAGTTTCGTTTCCCCGCGGTGTTCGTCTATTCCAAGGGGTCAATGTTTTATATTTTCTAGCAACGACGTTTCCCGGTCGCGAGGCTATTATCCCGAAGCGAAACGGGCATCAGTCGCGTGCGTGGTAGCGGTCACGAGCGGTGTGTCCTATCTCTATCATTCGATCGAAAGTCGCCGGTCGTAAAATTTCGTAAAAGCTCGGATAATTCGATCCCGCTAGACATCGTTTACTGACCACCCACGCGATCCATGGACACGGCTGCTCGGCACGAAAGTACCGAGAGAGCGTGCAACGGCCGATAGACGTCCCGACGATCGTTACGAAATCGAGCGAACAGACGCGGAAAAGACGCTCTCGCCTAGCTGTTCCACCGTAATTAGCTTACAGTAACGATTCGAAGCCTAGAATTCTTAGAGGTCTCTATAGATTCGATAGAAACATCGTTCTAACCCTTTGCACTCCTATGTCGAGTGTGATTATCAATTTTTATCTCAGGAGCTCCCTCGTCAAGTCCAAACCAAAGAAATATCCGTAAACTTGAAAGTTACAAAATGTAACAACAGTGTAAATAAAACAGATATTTTACCAAGTAAATTTCAAATAAAACCCTTAAAGGCGTTGGGAGCTGCTGGTAACAAAATTGAAATATAATTCGGAGTGCAAAGGTTTAATCGAGTTGGAAAACATTTCTTTTAGATCCAAGATCTAAAGATTTCAAAAATACCGTCAACTCCGTCAATTTACTATGGTGCAAAGGTCTCGAAGCAGTTTTTACTAAAATACGAGTTCGTCGCGTATTCATGGCGAGCATAACTCGGCGGATTCGCTCTCACGCGATTAGTACGTTCGCTCGTTTCTGAAAGTTGCCTTCGAAAACTAATTCGCTGCGGGCTGGAAAGTTCAGCGACCTCGGTCGACGAATCATCGCGACGGCGGGCGATTTTTCCAACAGAAATTTCGCCCGGCAACAGACGTTTCCTTTCT